CAGCAAATTAAAGTTTATTTTAGAAAGCCATTCACTTAACAGCTTAATATCTCTCCTCAGTCATTCTATTGTCTGGACAAAAACACATTACCACCTCCTTCTTGATCCTCGTGGATCTTAAAATATCTCTCTGACTAGCTGCTGTGCTGCTGAGTACAAACCCTGTACTGCACTGTAAGACCAGATGGGGACGTAATTAAAGTTGTGATATTTTTGGCGTGCCCTTGGTGTGGAACACTTGTGTCTTTTCGGCCTTGTACTTTACAGGTACAGCTGCGAAGATCTCGACTCTGTGCAAGAAGTGGCGTGTATTTGCTAAAGAAAGCTAAATCTTAGCAAACTTTAACCACCACATCTTAAAAATTAGAACAGTTTTAATAGTGGTGGGCAGGCATAGATATTTAGGTCTCAATCTAATGTTACAGCTGTACATCACAAACACGATGACACACAGGATTAAGAAAAGAGCCTGTCTGAAAGAGATAATAGGAGACCTGCCCCCTAACACAGAGCGCCTTTCATCACTCAGTATTCATGTTATGAATCACCCGGTCTATAAATGAATTCACAATCACACTCCCACCCAAGAGTACCTTCAGCATGTTAATGGAGCCAAAGGAAGTGAGTCGCTGGTTACGATCCTTCAGAAAGGGCTTTAAGAGAAACAGGAAGGATCTGAGCTTTTTCAGACAGAGTTGATGCTCAATTTAGTGGTGAAGCCAGGTCACAGAAAACATTTTCAATCAAAGAAGCGTGTCTTCAGCATGTGAACATGAGTCAGTCCAAACTGAAACAAATATTTACCACTTACAATTTATCATTATAGCTGCTGATCTTAATGGTTGAGGCTCAAAGTTATTCCAGATCTTCAATACAAAAAGTGAAAGATTAATCTCGCCACAAAGTCCATTTAGAGCTAGGGTTCGCTTTAGGGAGCAAGCACATCAGCGAGAGACGCAGAGGAAAAATGCACGCCTCAAACGCTTTCCATTAGTGTTTGTAATGAATCTGTTCAGAGGATGGTGGTTTATGAATGATCATTTTCATGCTGCTTTATGATTGTTTTTTATTTTTTGTTTTTTCTTACCCATTAGTGCATAGTTGTTGTTGTTTTTTAACATCGACTATACTTGTCATTGTTAGGACAGCTTGTAATAATGGCCTTCCTTCTTGTTCTGTGGTGCCGCAGTATTACAGTGTGTGTGTGTGTGTGTGTGTGTGTGTGTGTGTGTGTGTGTGCGCGCCTATCATTAGTGTTATTATTTTCATAATTATCACTATTGCTACTGATTTTGATATCACTTCCATTTTTGGTGCAAACACTAAGTTTAAAAGAATTACTCAATGATAGTTCTTCTTTTTTTTAAATAATTTTTTTTAAATGTATGCGTACATTTTAGGTCACTTTGTTAGGTACACCTGTTCAACTGCCCCTGAGCACAAATATTGAATCCTTCAACCACATGCATTTAGCCATGTGGATATGGTCAAGACAACCTGCTGAAGCTCAAACAGAGCATCAAAATTGACTTCAGTGACTTTGAACATGGTTTTGGTTGTTAGTGCCGGTTGGTCCGGGCTGATTATTTCAGAAAATGCTGATCTATGCCCACTTTCTGGCTGCTTCCAGTAGGATAATACGCGACAAAGTTCAAGTCATCTCAAACGCGTTTCTTTAAAATGATGGTGACTTCAAACAAAGCAGAGCATCTTTAGGATGTGTTGAAACAGGAGATTCACATCATGGATGTGCAGCTGACAAATGTGAAGCGACTGTGTGACGCTGTCATGTTAATATAGACCAAAATCTCTGAGAAATGTTTCCAGCAACTAGTTCAATACGTTCCACAAAGAATTAAGGCATTCCTGATGGCAAAAGGGTGTATCTTATACGTTTATAAAGGGGTGGTGAGTGTATATCTCTTTAAAAGAAGAAAAAATTAAGATGAAATAAAGGCATCAAACACAATCTACTTCCTTTTGAACATAACCAAAAGAACAGGACTTCTTTGTTACTATTTTCAGGCAGCAGAGGAGGAAATGAGATGCACGCTTGTAGATACAATCTGACATAAATACGCCCTTATTCCCAACTTTCTGGAATATGTTGCCAGCATTAAACTCAAATGAGCACATATTTAAAGAAACATTTTCGTCATTTAATAGCTTCTCCTGTGGTGTAGGAGTTTACATATTTTCCTGACAAGCAGAAGATCCCCAGTTTGATTCTGGAAGGATGCAGTAACACTATTGGGGTTGTGTTAAAAGGAGGATCTGGTGTATATAAAAAAGAAAATCTACCAAGTCAAACATGCGGAGGTATCTGCTGTGGTGACCTCCTTGTGTAAAAGGGAGATGCTGAAAGCAGCTTTTAAATGCAATGATTTTTTTAGTTATTTCATTGGGGTTTTTTGGCCTCTTTTAAAAACATTGTCGTAGTTTGGACATAAGAGTGGATGCAAACACCTTAAAATACTCAAAGAACACTGAGTATATTTCAGAGCCTGTACTTTTTCACTTGTGGTTCAGCTTTTACCAGAGAATTTTATAAAACAACAATCTTTTCTTCCACTTAAGTGACAAATGTGTGTACTTTTGCCACCTCTGCTGAATTGCCTTTTGGGATAACAATATTTTGTCTTAAGGAAATTAACTTTAGGTTTAGATTAATTTAGGTGTGTAGTGATGAAATTTATTTCACTAGATTTCCATTATATTTAATTATAAGAATTAAAACGACTGAGGAACAGAGGCGGGATGTTATCTGCACAAATGCGAATCAAGATTCTCGCTGACGTCCGTCTTTATTCTAACGTTATTTTCTGTGATTTATTTCCTGAACAGCACATTCGTCCTGCCTGTCTTCCAGACACTAAAATTTGAACAACATTTCAAATTCATTTAAATGTCCAACAATAGCACACCGCATTATGAGACATCAAGCAATTTTCCAAAAACAGAGAGAGAGCTCAAGATGAAACACAATCCCTACAGCAGGTGCTGACGTTTCCTTTTTGTTCACTGTGGACCTTCGTGTATGATGGCTTTATGTTTTCCAACTGTGCACTATTTATGCCGTGTTTATTCTGAACACAGTTTCTCCTTTCCTCACTGCTGTCTTCACACATTGTGACGGGAGGCTTCCTGTTACCTCACATCCCGTCCTCCCATCCTCAACTCATCAGGGAGTTCACAGTCAACAGCAGGATAGGTCACCCTGTTCCTCTTTTTTTAACCTCAGTCCCTCCTACAGTGTGTTTCTTGCCTCCACACACATACAATGTCTCTACAGTGGAGATATTTAGGGATTACGATGTTGGTCTCGGTGGCGTAGTTTGGTTTAGGCTGGAATTCAATGCCTACAATCACAGATGCTTAACTTTTCCTGATGATTTATCATGAGAACCTTTTATGTGTTTATTTGTTTTCCAACTAAAATAAATGTATACAAATAATTTACAGGCATTTATATTTCCCATTGCATTATTTCCTATTGCTTAATAGGGTCAATATTATCCCTCTGGCATGTTTATAAGTGTATAACTGAATTAGTAGAACTTAGAGTTTGTCTGAGCAGAGCTGAATATGAAGTCTTTGTTTGTGGGGGGTAATTTATGTTACTCGAATTGAGAGTTGGCTGTATTCATTGTTTGGCTGTATTTCAGGAGGGAAAGCAGATCATGTACTAATCGGAAGGTTGGCGGTTCAATTTCTGGCTGCCCTGGTCTGCATGCATGTCCTTGGGCAAGATACTGAAGCCCAAATTGCGCTCCAATTCATCGGAGTGTGAATGTGTGCAATAGAAAGCACTTAGTTAGGAGAAAGTGCTTGTATGAATGGGTGATTAAGCAATTTATGAGAACAAGTCCATTTACTATGAATCTGATTAAACTATGAAGCATTTTCTGAAAATGTGAGCTAAATTCTTGTAGTCAGGTATATTTTACATCAACCCCAACCTGATGCTGCACTTCATTTGATCCAGTTGAGCATGTTCCTACAAAAAACAGAACTCGTCTGGTCCTAAGTAAGGTAGAATTACTCATGCATTACTCGCAGTACAGAGCAGTGATTTTTAAGAATTTTCTTTTTGCACTTAAAAACATCACGGCGCCACGTTCATCAACACAGCCTTTGCGTATGACTTCTTTAGCCAGACACAAATACACAACAAGTTTTAGAGGTTTACCAATGTTTGCATGGGCAACTTATGCCTGATTCAGACTCCTTTTCAAACCCTACATAACCTGACATGCACCTCATATAATAAAATGGTAAATGGCCTGTATTTATATAGCGCTTTACTAGTCCCTAAGAACCCCAAAGCACTTTACATATCCAGTCATCCACCCATTCACACACACATTCACACACTGGTGATGGCAAGCTACATTGTAGCCACAGCCACCCTAGGGCGCACTGACAGAGGCGAGGCTGCCGGACACTGGCGCCACCGGGCCCTCTGACCACCACCAGTAGGCAATGGGTGAAGTGTCTTGCCCAAGGACACAACAACCGAGACTGTCCGAGCCGGGGCTCGAACCGGCAACCTTCCGATTACAAGGCAAACTCCCAACTCTTGAGCCACGATCGCCCCAGGTATGAATCAGGAGTGGGTCATTATGGTCACAACAGCCATTCAGTGAATTCTTGGTGAGACACTGCCACACTCTGACAAATGAAGGCTGCCTGGCTCATAGCTGGTGTCACCACCTCCGTTCAATAACTCAGTAATTCACAATTTTATCCTTACTCCTCTTATTTAATTCTAATCAAGGGAAAGCAGATGTCTAACTGGGCAATTCTCACCAAAACAGTTCTGAAAGATAAATAGCACCACATGCAAGAGGAGTCATATATCATTTATATAATGTTGTTTTGCTGTGAACTGTTAACACATCTAGAATTTGAAACAAGGAGAAAACAATTCCTACAAACTCTGCCCTAATTTGAAGTGGATTAAGACTTTGGTCTTGCTGTACGATTCTGTTGCCTCTCACCTAATGAAATAACAGCAGAAGATGAGGCTCAGGATGAAGACAAAGATGCCTGTCCCGAAGATCACCATGTAGATGTTGAGAGGTAGGTCCTGGAAGGTGATGGGCGGCATGGTGCACGACTTGTTGGAGTAAACGAGTCCGAGACCACAGAAGCACCCTAAAACAACAACAAAAGCAAATTTACAGGAAGGATATAGCATGAAACAGCTAAACACTGAAAGCCTGACACTAACACTAACACTAACACCCACACACACACACACGAATATACCGCAAAACAAAAACTGAATGCAACCTGTAACCTCATCTCTTTTCTGAGGCTCAGACCTGCATTGTGAACCTCAACCAGAATCCACATCCCGAGCCTTTAAAAGCAACAGGCGGGTGGGTTAGACTGCCACTGTGCACATGTGATGGTTTTAATGTACTTTCATATATATGTAACAAATGTTTTGTCTGTTAACAAGCAGTTTTCAGACTCTGAGACTCACACACCAAGAATCAGTGAATCTGTAACCTTTCCTGTTCTTGACAATAGTGTCCATATAATCTGCTGATACTTGTGCAAATATAGCACAAATGCAGCACTGAACATTTTTTGAAGAATACTGCAGCATGAACCAATCAGAAGAGATGGTAACCTATGCAACGTGCCATGCTTTATTTATCCTTCCTACTTTGATGCTGCACCCCGCACACGGTTTTCAGTATTTGATCAGGGTGTTTATTATTTTTATACCAAAGCCACTGTAGTCTCCTTGGTTGAAATGTTTGAAATAGCTGTAAGTAACTGGTTAATTTAACTGTTTATTTGCTCATCTGCATCTACCCTAAAGGATTAAACAGTTGGTTAATCGCCAACAGCACCACCCAGCGTAATTGCATATCATATAATTCAAAATCCCCAAACAAATGAGGACTCATTAGCAATTGTGAAGCCTGGTAGTGTGACTCCAGGGCATAGCTGCAGAGGAAGATGTGGTGAAATCTCCACAAATGGAGCGCTATGTAACCAGATCTCTGCTTGACAAGCTGTTTTCAATAATAACATGCAACGGAGCACATAGCTGTGTTCTGTAAAAAAGAAAAAAAAAGACAGAAAATTCTGAGCTGACTCTTAAAGCAGCAGGAAACAGTGACTTATGCTCAAAAACAGGACATTAAGTTCAAAATGAACAATTTGTGTAAATAAACTACCGATAATCGACTGATAATACCCCCCAGTATTTGAATTAGGTGCTATCCAGTTGTGCTATCCCAATAACTAAATCAGTCTAAAGTCTGACCTTTATATACATTAATAAAATAATAAACAGGAAATAACCTTAAATCCACACAAGCATGAACTGACAAGCTGTTTTTAAGTTAGATAAACAGAGACGCAGAGAGCACACTATGTGTTTTGTGCATCTGAGTGAGTAATGAGAAGTCAGCATGTGAGAAGGAGCTTTGTGAGATCAGGGTCATGCTAACCCAGGGAGTGATAGTGAAGTGGAGCTCACGCAGTACTCGTCGCACTCAGGCTTCTCATGTCCAGATTAGAGCAGCAACAAGGCAGAAAGCTGAGAGAGTCTGCAGGTTTTCATTTTCATCAGACACCGCAGCAGCTGATTTCACTGATTAGCATATTCACCCAGAGACAAGGCGCTAATCAGTGAACTTAGCCCGTGTGCTCTTTCACAGAGACACTTTTGGCCTTCCAGGGCACACGCATGGAAACAAATTTAATGTAAAAACAAACTGCAACAAACTTAGCCTGAAACAAATTTAACACCCACTCCGTCTGCTCTGCTCTGTCTGTGGATGTTCGTGTGTTATTTGTCTGTGTTTACTAATCCCGTGCTGGACTGACAAGCCCTCCATCATCATAGGAAAGACAGATTTTCAGCACCATATTTTAATTTAATTTTAACTTCTAGACTCTATGAGAGGAGCTATGTATGCCTCAGAGGACCAAATGATTGATATTTACCTTTAAGAGGCTTCTTAAGTGGTGTTGTGACCCAACCGCAGGTCCCAAGGGAAATGTGTACTCCCAGACTGGTTGGTGACTGGTTGGTGAGTGGTTGCAGGAAGCGTTTGCAGACAAGTTGATACAAACTAAGAGAAACTGCAGATATCTGCAAGTGACAAAAGCTGTCACAAGGACATTTTCGACAGCCAATTAGGTACTACATGTTTTTCCATAACTGGGGCTTTTTTAACTTGACCAAACTGTGTCATGTGGTTAGCAGTGTGACTGTAAAATTTCAGTACTGGTCCTTGGTACAGCCCCTTCCACCTTCCTATTATTTTCTGCCTGTAACAAACAAAATATTTATTCCATAGAAGAGCTGGGCTTCTGTACCAACAGATGATATTAGCTCTCATTTACATCACATAGAGCCAGGATTTAAATAAATAAATAAAAAACACCCAAAAACTGAGCATTAGAGCACCTGAAACCTGAGATTTTGGCTCACAAGGAGCACAACCTTTGAGAGGCTGAGCATTTTTAATTTAAGCATCCACCATTATAAAAATATGTTTATTTAACAGAAATTCAAGAAAAGCCGAATGGATCAACTTACTGAAGAGATGGATGAACAGAATAGATGAAGATCTTCACCAGTTTCATTTTCGTGGGTATTATTTTCTTCCAGCACCACTTTTTAATCAATGAGGATATTTCCAGTTACTCCCGCAGCCAAAGTAATAGACTGACATTTCTATCTGACGCCTCTCCCGCCTCACAGTGGAAACAGCAGTATCAGGGGATCAATACTATCCGCCTCTTGGTTCCACTCGTGCTGAACAAGCAGAGCGTGTCTATTAATCAAGGATCGTTGATGGCTGCAAAATCAAGTTCCACCACTTCACTCAGCCAGAAGCAATCAATGGTAGATACACTAAGGTTTGAGCCAGATTTTTAACCAAAAAGCCACAAATGCCTGAAAAGAGTCTAAACGGGACAAAACCAGCCAGCCTTATGATTATTCATGTGACTGACTGGCGAGAACTTGCATCAGGGTTGTAAACTGTAGCACAGCTGACAGGATTTGACAAAGATTTTGAGAGATTTAAAAATGTAAGAGATGAAATAAAATCCACAATATTTTTAATAATGCTCCTTCCTTTTCAAAAAATATCTTTCACATACAACACTTTTTTCATCAAATGTGCCCATGCAACACATGTGCAATTAACTAATAAGGGCCTATTAAGCTCTATTTGAAACCATTGTACTAAATACCCAACAATAAGTATCCCTCTCATCGTGTAATGAAATGTGCTATACAGCTACTGTCATTGTCATCCCCCGCTACCAGTTATTAAAGGTAGGCCTTCACTACAGAGCTTGATTTTTGTGAGGTCTGTGCGATCACAGCTAACATCATTCTACGAGAAACAACTGACATAAAAGGTCAAAGTTACTTTGGTTTAGCAACAGCTGATAGAACAGCAGGTTTGTCCAATCACCTACCAAATATTTTTCCCATATTCTTGCCGGTGATAGCCTTTTATGTGCTATGTCTCCTTACATAGACATGCAAAGTAATTATACTGATTGCTCACTGGCTTTCACACTTTGTCACAATTTAGTTTGCTTGTCTTTTTCACACTCTCTACTTCCTGTATGACTAGAAAAGGGGTAGAGATGGTGATAGACAGCTCCACTAGTCCTCTGACAAGTTTTATGACAAGTGACTACTTGCAAATGCTTTTGTGCACAAATTGTCCTCTTTGGTCATCTATACAATTCATAATTATAAACAGATTAAAAAAGGGGTGTAACTTTCGGGTCTGAAAAGTGAAACCAACACTGAAGTGTCTTTCTTATGGTAACCAGGGTTTCACAAAGAAAAACAGGGCTCTGACTGGACTAAACACTTTCCTCTTGAGTTTAAGGCCTCGGTCACTCATTTCAGATCATGTTGAATAAATCATTAAGTCCTTTTTTTTGGTACATTTTGGTTGTTCTACAAGTCAGTGTGTTCCCTTTTCCATCATATTGTTGCCCAGAATAAAACACACTGGAGAAATCCAAATATTCAAACAGTCCTGCTGAAAGCATGCATTACTAATATTTTCTGTTCCACAATTTCAACTCACTATTGTCACACCTCTATTTGGATCTGACACAGAGAAATTTCTACTACATAAAATGTCAGATAACTATGTTTCTCACATTTTGAAATGAAGGCACACCCTTTATTTTTAATTGCAGATGTTTACTCTTTCATAATTAAATTTTATTTTTTTACACTGCAATTAGGTGGATGGATCAGACTGATGCTGCATTCCCTGAATATAACTGAGGACACAGAAAGATGCAAGGCGATCGAATTTACTTCATCCTCTTTACACATGTCAAACAATCTGCCTCACAAAGATCATCAGCATACAAAGAGACACACACAGTGAGAGAGAATGGTGTAAATGTCAGCTCCTGTATTCATGTCACTGCCCTGCTGATGACACAAATCACCTGAGCAGACTCACAATCCAAATCTAGGGCATTTGCATTCAAACCTTTGTGCGTGCGCACCATGTCACATCCCGTCGCATTTCCCTCCTCCACCTTTGTATGCGGGGAGAGCAGCTATATTAAGTGATTTTTTGATTTGGTTGAAGTCTTGCATGACCAGTGACCTATATATCAACAATCTTATGAGGCATGCCGTTGCCATGGAGTAGTAGATGCAGAAAGCGGCTGAAGGTTAGCTAATGAAAGTTCTCATTTCAGGACAAAGAGAATCCGAGAGCTTCTCGAGTTATTCTTCAAAAAGGCAGGAAATTCCCTCTGAGATTTGATCGAGCTGTAAAATACCTCGACTATTGCAGTTTCCCTGACAGCTCCTATGAGATGCCTGCTGGGGTTTTGTCCTATATATGTCGTGTTCAAACAAAACTGCTTTCTGCTGCTGTTGCTGCTGCTGCCTTTGCTAAAGACTGAGCTTCCCATCAAATATTCAGCAGTTCACATAGGGGGGAATCACTCAGGCCTGCCTGCATGGCTGCTGCTGTTTTCAAGACGAAAGTAGGTTGGGGCACAAATCTCCCCATCACATGCATGAAAGCATGACATGTGTCACATATAAACAGTAGAATGAATAGGCACGATCACAGAAACACTGACACACACACAGAGTTGCGGCTGCCTGTTACTGCTTCATTTTTCCAGCAGAATGTTACTCTTTGATACTGTGTGTGTGTGTGTGTGTGTGTGTGTGTGTGTGTGTGTGTGTGTGTGTGTGTGTGTATTATTTCCAATATGAATGGCAGCCGAGTTGCTGCACAAAGGGAGTAATTGTTCTTGTCTGAACACCAACAGTCCACTGAGGAGGCTGCTGTAGTTGTGCATTCAAACAGGCAAAGTCAGAGGAAAAAGACCCCAATCCATCATCTTCACCCAGTCTCACCATGACAAAGAAACACTGAAAGACAATTTCACTGGAATGAAGGGTTTTATTTTTGTTTAAGTGTGACTGCTTTTGTTCACACTTTTGGCCTGTTGGAAGATAATCAGCTGAAGCTGTGAAGAGTGTAAGTGAGAGACTGTAGATAGGGTCAGAGCAAACAAGATTACCTAGAGAGACAAAACATTATACAAAGAGCACAATGACCGGTCTTGGGTAACTCTCTGGAGTGAGTTTAGGCCAAAATAAAGGTTTTTATTGATCAGGTAGACTCTTAACCTACAAATCAATACAAAAACTGACCAAATTTCTGATTGCCTAATCGCCCTTTTGGTGGATAGTGTATTAATTTAGGTAGATTACAACGTTTATAACATGTTGTAATCTATAGGGCTGCCGCTTATGATAACTTTCTTTATTGGTCATTTTCTTTGATTGTTGCGTCTATAAAATATCAGACAGTCGTGGCAAAAGCCTTACAGCCAAAAAATAATGCATCCAAGCTTCAAATTAATAATTCAAATCTTCACGTTTGAGAAGCTAGAACTGGGTGATGTGCACATTGCAGCTTCAAAAAAAGATGTTTTTATTAATACTGCTGCGGATTAATCTTCTAATTACTGCAGCTCTAACAGTCCTTCTCTATTTTTCTAGTATTCACTCAGCACTTCTAACTTTTGCTGTTAATACTTTTCTTTTCCGTGGACTTTGACTTATTGGACAGGACGAAGTATAGAGCTGCTTGTGGACAAGAAATCACTTATCACTAATACCACTACTATGCAGCTGTCTGCTTACATTAGTCTATTTAACGAAACTAGATTTCGTGTGTTTAACATTTAGTCCGTTTATAGGGTGTTTATATGTCATCGCTGTGGCATTATTAGAGACACTTTTAAGAACAAATGAAGCACCGAGCACACAGCTTAGGACAACTCATTTTGTGTCTCTTTGTTAAGATCCTGCACATTGTCGTTGCACTCGCTGGGGATGTCTAAATTTAGAAAGCACTGGCCTGAGTCAGTCTTGTTCTAAAATCTCTGTTTTAATCCTACTAAAATAATAGGACGTATTGTTCATTATTGTCACAGACTAGCAAAACAAAACAAAAAACAACAACAAAAATGACTCCTCACCGTTACACCACTGAAACGGGTGCATCAATGCACCAGATGGAGTCCTTGCCGTCGGGATCCGATTCGTGTTTACCAACAAACCGCAGGCCTCCTCGCAGATGGATGACCGCAATGAAGTGCACAAGTAGAGCCGGTGACTGCCCGCCAGCTGTGTCAAAGGTGAGTGAGACAATAGCAGCCCTGAAGAGGTCGTGAAAGACGAATAAAAAGGTGGATAAAGGGCGTTTAATCTTTTTGTATCGGAAGTTGCAGCTGGGTTATGTCACATTGTCCACGTTGGCTCGTCTCAAAAAGCAGAAATGCTGATGTGAGTGTTTCCCCAGCTTCTCCTCGCTGTCGCTGTTTTGACTCTGTTATTATTAAAAGACGGCATGACACTGACCCAGCGGCAGCATCTGTGTGAGAAGAGAAACTAGAGCACAGGCTCGATTTCCCTGCTCCCGCCCCCTCTCCGGCAGACTGACGTCCGGGGAGACCAATGGCGAGGCCGGTTGATCCGCGCTGTGATGTGACGGGCTGGTGTGTTTCCTGTAGCTCATTAACGTCTGCAGCTTACTGATGCATGTATGTTTTACAGCAAGGGGTCTGGTTCACTGTAGCTCATGAGCCAATCACCAGTGTGGCATAACAACCTGTATATTAAAGCACACACACTCACACACCTCTAAATGTCACGTCTTTAATAGATTCACAGTGCCCCCCAAAGGTACTGGAACAGCAAGGCTAATTAATTTGTTTTTCTGTGCGCTGAAGATGTTTGAGAGCTTTTATTGCCAGTTTTTTGCATTAAACACATCATAAATGTGTTACCTCCTATGCTGAAGAGCAAAGTAGGTAACACATTTATGATTCCCATGTTGGTCATAAGAAATTGATCGCTTAATTATTAAGTAGAACTGGAAGATATTTTTCACTTGGCCTTAAAATTTAAAAAAAAACGCCACACACATTAAAAAAAATTGTTTATTAAATGACAACCAAGTACAAAAGACGTGGACCTAGTTCTCCTAAAATCTATCCTGATGTTTACTTCAAACACAGTCACACTTCACTATGATAAACGACCACATTAATGTGTTATTTTTGCCATTATAGTAATAGTTCTGGGTCGGTAATGCCATAATTGCCAGCAAAAATACTTCCTTAGTGAAATACAAATATACTCTGAATCAGCACAAAGGTTTAAACAGCACTTTTGATTATCTGAGATTAAAACCAGCAGACTTTACGAGCGTACTACAGACACTAGAGCATATAAACATTTACATGTGCAGAGATCCATTCAGCTGCAGGAGTAGCTCAGAAGAAGTAGGCCTGCTCATATGCTGTGATGTTTGCGACATAGACAGGTGAGTAGCTGTAAATCAGTGAGGATTCCTCTTCTGCAGGACTGTCAAAGTGATGTAAACTTCTCCTTGCTAAACAAAGCAGAGCAGACATACATGTGGTTAGGTTACGTTAGAATAAAATAGCTTAATGGCGGTCATGTGAAAATCCTGTGAAAAACTAAGTATATGTTTACTTCTTTAATAGCAATTAATCAAACTCACTTGATAAAATAATCGACAGCAAGTAACAATTTTATAGACCCCTTCTATACAAGCAGAAATTTTGACAGTTTGCAAGTTTGGAGCGTTTAGGTGTGTGCCATAGTTTTTCCAGAAGAGGACATCCCAGCAAATTCACTTCAAGTGCAATACTCAGAAATTTAAAGAAACAAAACAAACAAGAGCCAAAACAAGACATCTCATACTCGGGCTTTAGTAACCATGTTAAATGCTACAATGCATGAGAGTATACTGATGGATACAAATATAGCTTGTTTGGAAGGGCTGCCAAGACAAAGCGACATTTTTCCTAAAAAGAACATGGCAGCACAGTTTAGGTTTGCAAAGATGCATCTGAACAAACTGCAAGATTTCTGGAACAAAGTTCTTTGGAAAGCCAAGACCAAAGTAGAGATGTTTGGAGAAAACCAAGAAAATGCAAATGAGCACTAACCCCTCACACCAGCTGCCAAGCACAATGGTGGGGGGTAATTATTTGTGCTCTTTTTCCAGCCACAGGACCTGCATGCCTTGCAGTCACCAAGTTAACCATGAACTTCAAATACTAGTGATGCTCCATCACTGCATCTCACTGGGTGTTAGCTCGCTCTGCGGTAAGTAGTATCACTTCCCGTTCCTGTTACAGCGCACAGTGGGGCCTGTGTAGCCTTTCTACTTAGCCAATTTAATCGAAAGCGTCTAAATTCATAGTGTACTCTTCACGTGCTTTATCCAAAATTGTTGGGACAACGATCCCAAGCACAGCAGCAAACCTGCAACAGAATGGTTAAAAAAAAAAAGAAATCAAAAGGAAAGAATCAAGGTGTTGCAACGGCCCAAATTCCAGACCTCAACCATAGTGAAATCCTGTCACGGGAACCTAAAGGTGCCATGCATAAACAATTGTCTGCAATCTTTAATGAACTGAAGCACTGCTGTAAAGAACAGAGGGCCCAAATTCCTCCACAGTGACGTGACAGACCGATAAAGTCACACAAAAGGATTACTTAAGCTATTGCCACTAAAAGTGGTTCTGCAAGCTACTAGTTTACACAGCACTGCATGGAGTCCTGTGAAGTTGTTTTTTTTTGTTTTTTCACGTCTGCAAGTGAAACTGATCAAAACAGGGCGATAAATATACCCACAGTTCTGAAAGCAGTTCATGAGAAGATAGCACGCTGTTTTATATAAGGTTTGCATCAGTGATGCTGATTAGTTAAGTTGGTTTCACCAGGAAATAGCGGTCACCACAAAGGTCAGAGACATTCATACTAGTGGCCTACTGGAAGTGATTTTGTAGGACTCCAGCAGCGCTCATCCTGTTCCTCGTTTCAAAAAGGAGCAGATACCAGTCCTGGTGATGTGTTAGGACCTTCTATAGCTCTGTCCAACTCCTTTTGGTCATTGTACACGCTGCTGTGTTATCCTGGAGGTGTTGGACTACCTGTGAAACCTATGTAGGGTCCATGTATCACCTTATGCTACCAGTAGTGACATTGACCCTAGCTGAATGCATCTGTTGAGTTCATGTAACACCAATGCAACTGAAAACTGATTAACAACTCCCTCTGCTTCTTATTCGACTAGATTAATATCCCAGTTTAATTGGGTTGATACTATACTCTGATTAAAAAGTGTTCCTTTAATTTTGTTGAGCAGTGTATGTCAGGGTCCTGGGACTGGGCGACCCAGGACCCCTGGGCAGTCATGGACCTGTGCTATTGTTGTGTATTTTGGTGTTGCTTCCCCTTCTCTGTGCTTGTGTATATGTGTGTGTGTGGGTGGCTGAACACTTGTTTATAGGCGGCGTCAGGCCTGGAGGGTGTGGCCCTGCAAGGGGACTGGCCACACCCGAAGCCACACACCTGCTGCTGATCAGGCCTCGTCGGGGAGCTACTTAAGAGAGTCTTGGAGCTCCCACCGACGCGGGATCATTGCTTGGGACTACATGTTAGTTACCCAGTTTAGGTTTTGGTCGTGTAGTGTATGCCTGCCATTGTTCAGTGTCCTGACTGCTGCCGCTATTGTTTCCCGCAGGAGGAGCGTGGAAGGCTTAAGGAGCAGCGAGCACCGGGAGTGCAGACACGGGAGCAGAGAGCACTTGGAGGGCACGACACGGGAGTCTGGGGAAAAACACGGGGATTTATTGTTGTTTGATATCACCCTCTGTAAATAAACGCACTGCTTGAACTTTGAGCGCCGCGCCTGGGTCCTCCTTCCCCACATCCCCACAGTCTGCCAGCCAGACCGTGACAGTGTATGTTTTTTGATAATGCATGCTTGTCATGTTACCTTCATTGACAAAAAATTCAGCTAGCAGCGACGATAACTGCACAGCGTGACGGGAGTGAGGGAAGTTCAGCTTTCTGTACCACTGAAAACGATTCACCTCCGGGTGCCACTGAACTCCGTAGAAAGGATATCTTTTACCTGTCAGAACAAAACAATATATCTCTTGGTACAGTGCTGTTGCATGGAAATCCTTCAGCTTCCCAAATAAAAAAATAAACCTTGTAACCTTCGAAAGTTGACACAAAGTGAGCTCCGTTCTTAGCGATGTTTGTTGACAAGATGGTGAAGAAACTCTGTAGCATCTCATTTTCCTGGAAGTCCTGTGAGAACATTCGTCATATTAGCAGTTATCATTTAAGTGTCTCTATTTGTTATTATTTTAACTCTCCTTCTTGTATGCAATACTCAGAACTGTTTGGATTTATTAGAAGAATTCGCTTTTGGGCTTCATTTCTACTAATGCTTTGTTTAATGTCCGCTCAAATGACGACAACTCTTTTCATGGCAGACAAATTCATTCTGAATGCAGATTAAAAGATATATCTGTAAAGTATATCTGTTAAACCCCTGCTGAAACGAACGCTCCTAACTGTGATCATTGGCTGGGATTTTATTTCTCCAAACAATAACTATTCAAAACCTAACAGAGGAAGTAAAACTTTCTGTTTGGCGACACTGGTCAGAAGAAGGCTCATGCTGTACCTTTATTGTAATTCCATAGTTGTGAAAATTGCCAGTCAGAGGTTCCTGGGTCAAAGCATTGATGAGCTCATCTGGGAAAGTATTGAACATCCGGCTGGACTGCACTTCTGCACGCAACACAAAAGGGTATTTGATTAAGTCCACTTATAAAATTGAACACATTTAACACAAAAGAAGAAAAAACATCTGAATAGATATGTCTGAAGGTTCTCAGTCATCCAGGTCATCGTAGTCAAAGGAGCTTACAAAGAAAAGCGTCTGGACTTCTTTAAGTTACTTGAAGACGTTTCACCTCTCATCCGAGAAGCTTCTTCAGTTCTGAGGTCAAATGGTGGAGAGTCCCAGATATAAACCTAGTGGGAGTAACCCCCCACAGAGGGACAAAAGGACCCCCTGATGATCCTCTAATCGCCTGAGCCAAGGTGTGAAACTGGGTGTGGGTCCCAATCAGCCAGAGTTTCGCCTTACATATCACCGCCTTTACCCAGGGGATGCCATACCCTGCATTTACGGACTTCCTAAAATCCACAAGGAAGCTGTCCCACTCAGACCCATAGTCAGTAGCATAAACTCAGCCACTTATAACATTGCTAAACACCTTGCTACCATCCTTGCGCCTCTCGTGGGGAACACCCCACACCACATCAAGAACTCCACCGACTTCACCGACAAGGTCCAGAAACTTACCCTGGATCCAGATGAAACCATGGTGTCCTTTGATGTAGTCTCTCTCTTCACTTGCATACCCACCACGGAGGCCGTGGAGACTGTCAGAAAACGACTACAAGAAGACAGCTCCTTGGAGGACAGGACCAACTTCACACCCGATCAGATTTGCACACTGTTAGACCTCTGCCTCACCACTACATATTTCAAATACAACGAAGGCTTTTACAGACAAAAACATGGCTGTGCCATGGGCTCCCCCGTGTCACCTATTGTAGCCAACCTTTACATGGAGGAAGTGGAAAGGAAGGCTCTTGGCTCTTTCAAAGGAAGAGTACCCAGCCACTGGTACAGATATGTAGACGACACCTGGGTCAAAATCAAGACACAAGAAGTGGAATCCTTCACTGCGCACATTAACGCTGTGGATAAAAACATCAAGTTCACCAGGGAAGACACAAAGGACGACTGTTTGCCTTTCCTGGACTGCGCTGTGCACATTGAAGAGAACGGCAAACTCAACATCGAAGTTTACCGGAAGCCCACACACACGGACCAGTACCTCCTCTTTGACTCCCATCACCCTCTGGAACACAAACTTGGAGTAATTAGGACCCTACACCACCGGGCAGAACATGTTCCCTCTAAGCCTGAAGGAAAAAAGAAGGAACACACACACACATGTAAAGGAAGCACTCAAAACGTGCGGCTATCCTAAATGGGCGTTCTTAAAGTCAGCAAAGAGGCACAGAAAAGAAGATCAGACACCAGCGAGGGAGGATAAGAAAGACAGACGCAACAACATTGTCATCCCCTATGTAGCCGGTGTATCAGAAAAACTCAGGAGGGTTTTCTCCAAGCATGACATCCCAGTGTATTTCAGACCCAGCAACACGCTCAGACAAAAACTGGTTCACCCGAAAGACAAAACGCCAAAACACAGACTTAACAATGTGGTGTATGCTGTACAGTGCAGCGAGGAATGCCCAGACCTCTACATTGGAGAGACCAAACAGCCACTTCACAAGCGCATGGCACAACACAGAAGAGCCACCTCCACAGGACAAGACTCAGCAGTCCATCTGCATCTTAAGGATAAAGGACACTCTTTCGAGGATGCCAATGTTCACATTTTGGACAGAGAGGATAGATGGTTTGAAAGAGGAGTGAAAGAAGCCATCTATGTCCACTGTGAGCGACCATCTTTGAACAGAGGCGGTGGTTTACGACACCAACTCTCTGCCATCTATAATCCAGTTTTGAGATCCCTTCCCAGACGCCTTAACGCCCACTCACATCCTGGGCCATCTGACCTCAGGAATTCGCATGATAAGGTGGGGCCAGGTTTCACAATGAACGCACCCGAAACTCTGGCTGATTGGGACCCACACCCAGTTTCACACCTTGGCTCAGGCGATTAGAGGATCATCAGGGGTCCTGTGGTCCCTCTGTGGGGGGTTACTCCCACTAGGTTTATATCTGGGACTCTCCACCATTTGACCTCAGAACTGAAGAAGCTTCTCGGATGAGAGGTGAAACGTCTTCAAGTAACTTAAAGAAGTCCAGACGCTTTTCTTTGCAAGCTCCTTTGACATCTGAATAGATATATCAGTTTAGGATAAGACAATCTAGGCAATTTAACTGTTCAGAGATCTTCAGAAGTCATCATAGCTGATATGTCTAACCTCACACTCTGAAGAAAGGCAAAAATAGACTTTTGGGGGGAATAAATTTGAATATTTTTTGATGCATCTCAGTTTGATTATTTTATTTGTTCTCTAACTGACAAAGCTTTTGAGAACAATTTAATAATTTAACAATTTAATGCTTCAAGAGATCCATCATCATCATCCCTGTGCCCAAGAACAACAAGCCCTCATGCCTAAATAACTACTGGCCAGTTGCACTGATTCATCCTCCATTCCAAACACCACAGATCCGCTCCAGTTCACCTAATGACTCAACAGATCCACGGAGGACGCCATCGCCCATGTTCTGCACACCATCCTTAGCCACGTGGACAAAAAACAGGGTAACTATGTGAGACTGCTGTTTGCTGATTACAGTTCAGCATTTAACACAATAGTGCCCAGCAGACTGTTCACAAAGCTGAGGGATCTATCTAGGACACAACAGCCGTCTGTGTGCATGGGTGTTGGACTTCCTCACTGGCAGAACTCAGGTGGTGAGGGTGGGTAGGTGCGTCTCCGACAGCATCACCATCAACACAGGAGCGCTACAGGGCTGTGTCCTCTCTCCACTGCTCTACTCCCTCTGCACTTCAGACTGTGTGGCCACCCATGGCTCCAATACAATTATGAAGTTTGCTGACGACACAGTGGTGTTGGGTGCCATCTCCAATAACAATGAGGCGGCCTACATGGATGAAGTGAAGAATCTGGCATCGTGGTGCCGGAACAACCAAGTGGAGCTGAACGTCTGCAAGACCAAGGAGCTGGTGGTGGACTTCAGAAGGAGTAAGCACAGAGACTACAAGCCCATTACCATCAACGGCGCTCCAGTGGAGACGGTATAGTCCTTCAAGTACCTCAGTGTCCACATCTCCTCAGATCTGACATGATCTGCCCACATTCAGGTCCAGTCCTAAAAGGCTAGGCAGCGCCTGCACCACCTACGACAACTGAGGAAGTTCAGGGTCTCTCAGGGATCCTCAGGACTTTCTATGCAGGCGCTGTGGAGAGCATCTTCACACAGAACATCACATACTGGTATGGGAACAGCTGTGTCAAGGACAAAAAAGCTCTTCAGAGAGCGTACAGCAGAACGCTGCTGCAGGACTGCTCTCCCCTCCCTTCAGGACATCTATACCAGGAGATGTTGCTCTAGAGCAGCTCAGATACTGAAGGACCCGTTGAAGGTTCCACACCATCCGGGCAAGAACAGAGGCTCAAGAGGGGGTTCTTAGGGTAAGAGTAAAGTTAGGGTCAAAGAATTACAACAGCAACCTCATCCAAAGAGCACATCACATATATGCAGAAAGAGCATTTAAAGTTGGGGCCAAAAATCCCCCAGATTTGTAACTTGCCTCTACTGACACCAATTGTTTTGTTCAGGCACTCTTCTGCAAAAAATTTCTAACCACTGAGAAAAAAAAAAGTTCCAGCTAGCTTGCTTGCATGCATGCATACATACAAAAACACATTCCTCCAGTTAATTCAAAGAGTAAAAAAAATAACACAGATTCACATAAAGACAGCAACCAAGCACGAACCTGTGGTTAAGTTGAGGGGCAATGCTAAGTTCTCAGCTGGGGTTTTTGTCAGGAGATTTTCACCAGCCACCAGCACAGTGAGTAGCTGCATTCCCATGCATGTGCCCCAAATAGGGAAGTAGTCCCCGGCATCATTAGCCTGAAAGTCACAGGAAGTTGGAAATGTAATTTTTCTGCACCAACAGCAGGAAACCAAAACGAAAATTTACGCTAACATACAAAATGTTGCTAAATTTTTTTTCCCTTTTGCAATCAAAAGTAGCTTAAATGTCCTGCACATGTAGGGCAAGTGTACGTCATATTAACAAACTAGTCTTGATCTTAAACAATGTTCTCGGTGCAAAGATTAACCTCAAACTATTAATAATTGATTGAAGTTAACGTTAATTTCGTAGAGCAGAATTTCAAAATGCCAAGTGTAAGTGTTCAAATGTTGTTAAAGAAGCTCTTATTTTTCTTTGCTATTAAGCATTGGAAACCTTCAGGACAGGTACAAGATCTTCCCCTAAGAGGAGTTCATTTCTGCACAAACGAGACAGGCTTTGAAGCAGAAAACAATAAACAGAGAATGATGTTCTATACTAACCGCCAGAGCGAGCCTGTAAAAAATCTTCGCCACCCGGGCAAAGTCTGAAGTCTCCAAATCTGCATTTCCCCCAATGAAAATCAACCTGAACCGACATCACATGGCAAATAATGTAATCTATTTAGACACAAATTTCAGTTGCCAACACATTTAAATCAATATACAGCAGCTCACCCGTTTATCTTCATGAAAATGTTCTCATATTCAGATGTAGTCAGAGTTAATCTGTGCAGGGAAACAAAAAACAATGAGCGTTGTACTATTTTCCATTGTTCAGACTACACAATGGTGAGCTCACACAGGGGGGTCAACTTCTTCTTCCACAAAATGTCAGCAACAACGTAAACATTAGGCGAGTTAACATTCACCTAATGTTGAACGCTGATGCAAAGTCACCAAGCTCCAATGACTCAAAATGAGTCTCCTTAAAAAAAAAAACCCCTCTCTCTGTTTTTAATATGCAGATTTAAAGACACTGTTGTTTTGAGTGAGGTTTAATAGGCATAATGAGCTCTAAATACACCCAGTTCTTTCCTTTTCATTGGAGCCAACAGAACAGACTTCTTTAAAAGCTCATCTTTACTCTTAAATGACTCAACCCACCTTATAGGCATCACTCTGCTGCCCCCAGACTCGATGTATTTCACGTAAGAGGAAGGTATGTAAGTCCTCCCAAATGGTTTCATAATTTCATCTGTAACAACCTGAGTTAAAATACCTGTGGAACAAAAATCACAGCAGCTCTGATTGAACAGTCAACAGGGACACAGCTACAGAAGTGATTCGCTCTGCTTTCTAAAGATGTGCATCTCTGTGAGTGAAATACCAAATATAAAGTCCTGATGGTGTATTTTACTCACCTATCACAGATCTGTCATTCACAGCCTCGTTGTTGCGTTTAGTCGGCATAGCTCTGCTGCAGCAGAAGCAGCAGGCAAAAAACAAGCACAGATAGGTCGAAACACCTGTGTTAAACATGTTTTTGGTCACCAGCTTAGTTCAGCAGAGCAGTCTTCTTTTACAAAGCTGTCAGAGCTGTGGATAATGAAAGCAGCCGACTTGTATAAGTCGTGTTAGAACAGGATATAGTCAGTTCAGGGAAGTGAGGAATGCCCAGATTTACATGTGACAACTCCTGTACCGCACATGCCGGTCAAGCAACATGACTGCTGAGGTAAACAAAGGTTTTGCTGACAGCGCGGAGTTTTTGGCAACATTTTTGATCATTGAGTTTATTGGAAATTACGTAGCCTCATTGGTTTGTGCTGAGGTTTATAGTAGAGGACATGTGACCACTATAGCAGCCAGCTGCAGGTTCATGCATGGATAAAAACTGCTGTCAGACAAGTTTCTGTTCCAAAGTTAAAGTTTAAAAAGTTTAAAGGTGTTGCAGGCGTATTTTTCCAATAGTGTTGTTTAAATACAAGTTCCTCATAAGAGACCAAAATAACAATCCCCATGCATGACTGTCGCAACTTTTCTAATGCTTTATGTTAAAGTGGCAAAAACAACTGATTTTGTAACCGATACAGTTGATTCACAGATTGTGTAACACATGTTTTTTGTAACTTCAACCACTGATGAACACACATTCCTACCTTAAATTATGCAGACAGATGGCTTATGGTTTAGGAAGAGGGTTTAAAAAAAAAAAAAAAAAAAAAAAAGCAATTGGTGCTCCAAGGGTTTCTAATACAGCCCGCCCAAATTCTTGCGGGCATAAGGAAACACTGACATGAAGGCTGCTTGTGTAAATGGAAAAATTCAACATTCGGTTTAGGCAAACACACGTTATGCAACAACAAGATGTTATTGTAACCACCGAAGCTTAACATGCATTTAAATGCCATACATAATGTTTATGTAAAATGTCACTTAATGCTTTACTTTCATATGTTAAAGGACTAACCTGAATCACTAGGAAGGATTTGAGTCACCAAAACAACTGTGCACCATTTGAGCACTCCAGCCTTTCCACTCATGGAGGATTGTTTGCATCCCGAGCTTTCTTCCAAATGGGCAAAAGTACAACAACTCCAAAAAAGGCATAGTTTGGTATAAACTGGACTCCGTGAGCAGAGTCAAGCAGATGTTTGCATGTCTTCATTAGAAAACGGAAAAGCAGGTTCTTGTAAGTGACTAGTTGCTTAACTGAGTTAACAGCCATGCTACTGGGAGCTCTGTCAGACAGGAGAGTGACTATTAGTGGAGTACCAGGTAAGTAGGAATGAGTATTGCTGTATTTGTAATTGATTGTAAAAGTCTAACATAAAAAGATGGCATGGGGGAGGTCAAAAGGATGCAGGCGGAGACCTTGTAAGTAGTGATGTGACGTTCTGTATCGAGGCTTCGGAGCGTGTGTCGAGTAATGGAGGGGGCGTTTCCGCGAAGCGCGTATCGAGGCTTGCTTCATTTATGGGAGGAGCTGAAAATGATGACGTCCGAAGCCTCGCTGCCCGGCTGTACCACGTGACTGGTTCATGAAGTAGTTCGAACTTTGCCGCGAGATATGACAGCGATATAAACCCCTCAGACTTCATTCAAAATGTGGGTGTTTGATGGAGAGTTGTTAGTGAGAGTTTGGAGACAGTTTGGAGGTTTATGAGAGTGAGGAGAGAAACTCAGGAGAGAATGGAGCCAGCTAAGAAGAGGAGGATGTCCTCCCCTGTGTGGGAACATTTTGATCTTATTCCTCCCAACAAGGTATGTAAATTTCTACAGAAGATGTATTTTCATGATACTGATGGTGCAATACAATTTATGTTAAGCTGTCTTGACTTTTGTACAAGGTGAAGTGTTTGCTATGTGCCAGGGAGCTGGGATATAACAACAACACCTCATCCATGCTTAGGCACTACAGAGCTTTGCATGAGAATAAGGGGAACACAGATTGTGGAGCAAGACCAGGTGAGCCATCAAATGCCATGATAAATATAAACTAAATGATATAACAATATTATACAACTGTTATAAGTTACGTGTGTGATATTTATATTTGTGCTTTATCTTTATTGTCTTTCCTCAGGAGAACAATCTCAAATAGATGAAGACCTGGTCAGCATGGTGATTGAGGACTCACAGCCATTTAGCATTGTGGAGGACAAAGGATTCAAAAGATTTGTTAAATCATTAAATCCTAGCTATGTTCTCCCCACTAAAAAGGCCATAAAAGCAGTGAAAATTTAGTTTTTACAGAATAAAATGTGAACAGGCAGGACTGAGGCTCAAAGCCTCAGTGTGTAGCTGTCCATACCTCAACGTTACAAAAGCACAACTACTGTCCACACCCCAACCACACCTCACCTCACAGTAAATGATCATTTCCATTTTAAGCATTTCCAAATAATCATTTTCCATACTGCCACTATAAATATACACAGTATACTGCCATCACTACAATATAGATGTTTTACACACTCCTTTTGTTGTTGACATTTACAGGCTGTGTGCAAAATGCCACACTCTTCAAATTCATGCCAGCTATTATTTTTTACGTCCAGTAGGTGTCCTGCTAGAGCAAATGAAGCTTCATGAAGCTTCGCATTGGGGTGAACCAATTGGATGAAAAGCTTCAGTGCTTCATGGGGCTTCATCTGCCCATCACTACTTGTAAGTCATTCCACTTGCAGGTAGTAAATAAGAAAAACTGCCTGGAGGTGCTCACAGTCCACAGGAGTGTTTGACTTGGAGTTCAAAGGTTTCCTGGCAGCTAGAGGAGGAGCAGAAAATACAAGTTACACAAGGTAAGTGCAGGAAATTACTCAAAACCAAGGAGGCCTGACGGTCACCATGTCAGGACAATCTGAGAACTGTGGCACCCAACAGCCAAGCTCTTGATTACGCCATAGAAAACAGCTGGGGGAACGACAACATGAGCCAGAAGGCTCCACCCAGGGGCGGATCAGAGGGAAGGTGCTAGCCAAGCTATTCCACCTGAGGCTAAGAACAGAGGTTAACAAATAATAAAAAATAAATAAATAGAAGTAAACCATGACAAAATCAGGATGCTATAAAATGTAAATAAAAACTGAAACCCCCCCCAAAAAGTAAACTGAACATCAAGAGATTTTTGTTTCTAAAAAATAAAAGCTTATCAAGTTATCTTACTGTTACTAAATGTAAGGTATATATGTAAGGCAATACTTTCCTCAAAGAAATTGTGAAACATGATATTGTGTTGCTTGGTAATCATGTCAACGAGTCACCCCTGATGGAAGCAAGCTTGTCAGATTTTGCTCTAGTATCTGTTGTCAGATCTGAAGACTCTTCATATCATTCAAAAGGTCTGAAGGGACGTTGTTGCCTGGAAAATATTTCTCCCTGTTAATGTATCCCATCAACAGATAGTCCAGGTATTCCTCATCAGTGTCATTCCAAATGTCACCATAGACATTTTTTTCAAGATTTGTCACACCAATGACAACTCTCTTTAGTGACATTGGCATAACCAGATCAAAACATGTTTTGGTGTCACTTATTCTTGTCACAGAAAACCTTGCAATCCCAGGGGTCATTTTGATGACATTTGTAGCAGTTGCCCTGCCATATAAGCCACAAGGTACTGGACTCCAAAAGATGGTACCGCTTTTGAATTTGTGTGTTACAGGAAGAGCAGCTTCAGTCCCCATGACCGCCTCATAAGACCTCATATCATTGTCCTCTTCAGAAACCGGCTCATCCATATTTCTGTTTTGTGTCCTCTGCCTTTAGCAGAGCAAAATCTAAATTTAAATACAATTTTTAAAAGGCCGTTTTATGTTTTTAAAACCTAAAAACAAGTCTGTGCTGACCCCTACACAAGAGGAAGATTAATCTGTCTCCAGTATATTCAGTTCAGTCGTCAGATAACAACGAATTATGATAAATGATACACAGACATCAGATAACGTTTAGTGTTTCTGTTAAGCTGTTTTAATGGATGTACACTTAACAATTTATTCTACAGAACATATTAGAAAAAAACAAACTTTAAAAATTTCCTCACAGGATGCAGGGATCGAGTAAGAAAATGGAGTTAAAACCAAACTTAAGCTTACACATACCGATACGATTATTGGATTAGTAAACTGCAAGTCCTCAAACATCACATTTATATGTCCCACAGTGTTTGTCTTTTCAAAATACTGTACATTTATGGTAAAGACATTTGCTTCAGTCTCCAGGTAGATAACTTCAGATGCTACAGCTCTTTTATTCCAGGATATTCACACAGCTAAATTTGGTCCTTTCAGTCACACATTAGTCTAATTGAGAGTGGTCCTAACATCCATGGGAGCAGTGATCTTCATCTTCAAATGGCAAATAAATAATACGCTGGTCAATTCAGTTTTTCTCTGAAAAGAAAATAGACAAAATGGTACAAACTTAAACTCAAATAATAAATATTTATTTATTATTCAAATTATGAATTGGCACAGTTAGGTCCTCGTGTTTTTGCTGGCTTATACAGAAAGCACTTCATATGATTCTTAATCTTAGAAATGATTTAAAACTAAAATTATTTAACTACAAAAGTCTGGAAAACTTGTTTTTCAGAATAAGGAACAATCATGCATACCTGACACAGATTTTTGTGATCAGATGATTTTCTTATTGTATACATAAAACGTAGTAATCTAGTTTTAAAGTAGATAATATATTCCAAACAAAATAGCAAAACAATATCAAGCAGACAGACTTACCTCTGAGTCTTTGTATTTCCTGACAAAGATCTTTACACACAGCTGCCAGCAGCTCTTCTTTTGGCTTCAAACCATCCAGAAATACTGGGGGGGAAATGCCACATTAAAAAACCCCACATCAGTGTCATTTATTTTATCATTCAGTGATAGTGCAGTTTGTTTGTTTTGTTTTGTTTAATAATCATTTGTTCTAATCATCACACATGCATTTTTACCAAATTCTGATGTGTCGCTCTCGATCTCGTCTCGGTTTTTCAGGTACATTGGCCACACGTATCCGTCAAAGTAGCCAGGAGGATCAGGAGGTGTGTACACTCTTAAACTGTTGAAGACAGCAAAGAAGGTAGACACAGTTACTTTCTTTTTTTTGCATTAAGCGATACAACAGAATAAAAGTGCACAAAAAATGTCAAAAACTTCATATAAATACTCGATAATTAAATAAATACCTTCGTCTCCTCTTGCAGGCATCATAAGGTATTTCCATGAAATATTTTTTGTCAAACAGTTCGTCCAGAGGCCTGGAAGGGTAAAACATAATAAACCAGTAGAAATCTCCATCAGATAAACACAATTCACAAATTCTTCAGTATAAATTATTATTTCTATTTATATCTGTCAGTTTTTTCTAGAAACAATAACACATTAATCAGTGCTGTATCTTTGCCTAACATTTAACGTAAGGCTCAATAATTGCCCCAAGTGATTTAAAAAAAAGAATTTCATAAAAACTGACATGAACAGCAAATTCCAGTATTATAAACAAAGTATTTAGTTACTTTCCAAAATATAAAGTCCTGTAAATCTTAAGCTTTCATTTGCTAAATTTATAACTGAAACACACATGATGTCCTTTTATTTAATCCTCATTTGTGTACCTGTAGTTGAAAATGAGGAAGCCTTCCACTATGAGCACGAACACCTGGTTATCGACTGATGGTTCTATAAGCTGGGTCTCCAGGCCTTGCTGTCTGAGGAACGACTCGGGATCTCTTCGCCAGGAGTCAACGTCCCTCATCATCATCTGCATGTGCAGAGCCTCGAGGACTTAAATAGACCAGTGAGCATGACTTTCTTTCACATTTTAAATGAAAAAAATTTAATAACTGAATGAATATTACATCCATTGTTTGGATACTTCTCCTTTATTTTCTGCCATTGTGGCTTTTTTATATCTTTCAGACTGTTGATTGACAAAAAGTGATTTTTAAGGTGTCACCTTGAGTTCTGTGAAACATTTTTACCATTTAATTTTAATTTGATTGCAATGAATGGAGAAGAAAATCAGTGATACCCCACATTACAATACATTACAATACCCTGTATTTCTTTTTAAAAATGCTTAGAAATGTTATTGTAGTCAACCAACCACGTTTCTATATTTTACATACATTTTTATGCAATTTTAAAACATGTAAAGGATTTCTTAATGTCCTTACACTATTTTTCACAGTTATTGACCCTAATAGTGGTGCATATTAACATTTTCAGACTTTAAAAACTTCTCCAGTTTGCTAAAACTTGGGAACTCGTGTATTAAAAAAAAATACCACAGGTCATATTTTTAGATGGACAGATGAACTACAAATTCTGTAGTGATCATAAGTCTGGATATCAAAGATGAATGTAGCCATCAAGTCTGAAATGTGAAGCTGAAGGACAAATGCCATAAAACCTGCAACCTTTCTACTGACCAGTAGGGGGCGGTTTTTCTTGCTGCACAAAGAAGTCTAATTGTATAGAGGTCTATGAGAAAAAACAACCTATTTCTAGCTTTTATCACCACAGGTTTTTCCAATAATCTGTCCTAGATAAGTCTTATCTAATATGTTGTAATACGGTGTAAAGCAAATTGTCCTTACTGTCATATTGCTTGAACCCATTGCTGTCCATCGGCACCTCAGAGTCATCCTGAAGAAAGAAGCATATGTGATGCTTGCACCAAGGCTGGAAAAGTAGCAGTATGCCTTGAACACAGCCTCACAGTCTACCTTAAAATATGAATCCTGTGCAATGATGCAGCTGTTGGGTATTTGCTCTTGCAGACTTGAGGCAAGTGTAGTTTTTCCTCCATTGGTCATCCTAAAGGAAAAAGAACATACATTAACTAATGAACATGTACTTTTAACAGTAAATCTACAAAAATAGCCTTGATATTTTTTTTAATGTTTGCCTCTTTCATTTAACTAAACTCTCTGAAATTACAGTCAATACAGAAATGTTTATCTGTAAAATGTCCTGCTCAGCCAGTGTTTCCTTCCATTATCGAAATTACTGCAACTGACAAAGAGGTTTCTTGCCATCCATATGTTCATGAATAAATAACTGAATACGTTTTTTAATTATTCTGATGCTCCTTTTTGTCTCTCCCTTTGTTTTGTCTCTTAATTTCTTTTCCACTTCCTGTTTTATTTGCCTTTCCTATCTTTTTTTCCACCTGCACCTTGTCATCACATATGACAGTTTTCCTGCCCTCTTTCTAGTTTCACCTTTGTCTAATCAGCCTTGTGTGTATATACACTCACTGGTCACTTTATTAGGTACACCTCCTTAACTGCTTGTGAATATCTAATCGGCCGATCATATGGTAAATGGTAAATGGCCTGTATTTGTATAGCGCTTTACTTAGTCCCTAAGGACCCCAAAGCGCTTTACACTACATTCAGTCATTCACCCATTCACACACACATTCACACACTGGTGATGGCAAGCTACAATGTAGCCACAGCTGGCCTGGGGCGCACTGACAGAGGCACATGGCAGCAACTCATTGCATTTATGCATGTAGACATGATGAAGATGACCTGAAATTAAACCTTGATTGGGGGAAAAAGATGATTTAAGTTTTTTTTAATGTGGCATGGTTGTTGAGCCAGGTTGTTCAAAAACTGCTAATCTACTGGGATTTCTGGGTTTTAGAGCTGCAGAAGACCACAACAGGTGTCACCAACATCGGCTACATCAGCTACAATTCACACAATCTCACCAAAATTGGACAACAGAAGTTTGCAAAAATGTTGCTGGGTCTGATGAGTCTCAATTTCTGTTGCAATATTCAGACGGTACGGTCAGAATTTGGTGAAAACAACATGAACTGTTCAGGCTGGTAGTGGCCACCAGAGTCCCTGGATCTGAATCTAATAGAGTACCTATGTGTCACGGTGAAATGGGAGAGTCACATCATAAATGCTGACAAAACTACAGTAACTGTGCTTCATAGCCTTATTTTAAAGTGTTGTTTATTTGATTCGATATAGGTCAACTCTTGCTTTATTTTATGATTTAAGGTGTAAATGTCCTCATGACATTTTTCATATTTTGGGCCTCTTTTAATTAAATTACCTTTAACCACACAGAAAGAAACAGAAAAGGGCAGAAAGCTTGTAATGTCCTGATGCACGCTCCATGTGACGAAATCCCAGAAATCTGATTCTGTTCCTCTGGACATAACGTAGCGTTTTAGCAAAAGTTAAAATGCTACATCCAGATGAACAGAATCAACTTTCTGGCGGTAACGCTGTAATGTATTTACTGCCAGGTCATGCCAGTGAACAGCATCCCACTCTTTCATTGATAGTTGCTTCACAGGCTTGCCTCAAAGTTCATTTCAAGACCTGCCCACTCCTTTGGCAGCAGGTTTTTGTCCATAGTCATAGTCAAATCATAACAACAGTCGCCTCAAGTCGATTTATATTGTAAGGTAAAGACTCTGCAATAATCAGTGTTGGGTAAGTTACTTTAAATTAGTAAATTACTAGTTACTTCTATAAAAAGTAACTCAGTTATCTCAAGTTACTCGTTACTTTCAAAGTAACTAGTTACTAAGGTAAGTAACTTTGGCTTTACTCAGAATTCTCTTGTTAATGTGTTGCTTCCCTAACTTGGATACCCGGCAAGGATGCCAGTCTTCTAGCTTGCTTACATGTTAGCACTATCCTGCCACAAGTGCAGTGTGCCACCTATCAACAGAAAGGAAAAAATAATGTGCATATTTCCAGGAGAGAAATCCCAGGCCTGGACTATCGTCGACTTCCACCATGATTCTAGCCCTACGTCACAGCATCACATGCGCTTTTTACATCCAACAGGAAAACTGCAATCGTGTTGCTTTCGATTGTACTCAGAACTCGGAAATTCTGCCTTCCGAATAGGAAGCTGTAGGTAACACCAGACTGCATACAGGGCTGGACTGAGACAAAAAATTGGCCCTGGGCATTTTGACTAGCCCACCATTATAGGAAAAATCATAAACCCTTTAAATGAAAAAAAAAAAAAAAACGCTGTTGTGACAGTGATGTACACTGTTCTGATGGTATATATGTCATATGCTGTGGGAGTGTCTGGTTGGGCGTGGTCCAGGTTCCTGTCATTTGTCCCTGGGAGTGGAGTTGGCCAGCTCATCACCTGTTGTCAATCTCCGGGGCTCCACCTAGAGGGTTTTTAAGCCAGCACGGCCTGCCACTCCTCGCCAGTTCGTCCTGCTACCATCTGTGGTAAACTCGGCCTCCTCTGAGCTCTGACTCTGTATTAACCTTGGGTTAATATGTTTTTGTTTCCTGTATTCTTCAGATTCTCCACCCATCGCACTCACCAGTAGTGCTGTTTTTGGTCTCCATCCTGTCCTCCCATCTGCTCGGAACCCGAGGATTATATACTCCACTTCTCCTCAGCCTGCCCTTCAGTCTGTATTCTCCATCTCTTCGAAATCTGGACCGGACTCTCCACTCTTGACCCTCTTTGGAATACACCCCTGGCAGCCTTTTCCCCGTTAAATGACTAGGGTCGCCAAGTAAGCCCAAGACTATTCACTGGCACTCCGTACCTTTGTCCCTTACTCGTTTGTTTCCCATTCAGTAACATTTCTCCCCTGTGTTTACAGAAGTTCCCGTTAGAAGTCTCCCCTGGAACAGTGGCGCGGCTGCCCCTCTGTTGGTCTTCCATGGTCTCTTGTGTTCTGGGGGCCTCTGGATGTCTGGAGTTTTGATCTCCTCCATACCCGCTTCACACCCTGGAGGACGGGGCTGTGGCCCCCCCACACTCCCTAGCAGATCATTACATGGAGAAACCTTTGGAATGCAAGCATGCTGATCCACACAGGTATGCACACATGGGTATTCACAGACGCGGACTAAAGCTTTCTTGGCTGCTACCTCAAAGCACACTGTGCGCTGTCTATCTTGCGTGCTGCACAATATCGTTTATTATTTAGTAAATATTGATATCTATGACTAGCTAGTTTATTGTGATGGTGCTTTGTTTTCTCTATTATTATGTTGCTCTTTGTTGTTTGCTGTCTCCTCTGTTTGTTTTTTTTGTTTGTTTGTTTTTTTTTTTCTCCATACAGGTGACCCAGGAGTTCTTTTTTTTTTCTCTCTCTCTTCCCCCCCCTTCTCACCGTCTCTTCTCCCCTTTGGTTTTCTTTCTTTCTCTCCCCCTCTTTCTCTCATTCATTCCCCCTGTCCTATTTATTAAAAAAAAAAAAAAAAAAAAAAAAAATGACAAAGGATGAACTGAAGCTCTGCCATCACGTAATGTCGCATACTGCTGTTTCTGATGTCATTTAAAAAAAAAAAAGAAAAAAAAAAAAAGAAGTCTCCCCGTGCTCTACGCCGGTTTCTCCGCCCACGGATTTCCTTTAGTTTTCTGCGTATGGTTTTTGTTAAACCCAGTTCCGTTCACGTTTTGTTCTTTTCAATAAATTATACACAGTTCTAAGCAAATTGAGTCTGCTCTTGAGTCCACCGCATTCTCGTCCGTGACAATATATGCATCAATCTATCAATCGTTTGTTGTAAGACTCTGATAATTATTAAATAAACGCTAGATATTTTAAATGAGAATAAGAAAGAAAAGTATTTCTTTGTGCCCCCCTCTCCCTGTTAATGCCCTACCTGGCCCCCTGGCAAAAACTTTGCTAGATCCGCCCCTGCACAGTTACCAGCTGTCGGCTACAAAGGATCCTGGTGCTATTTGTCTCTCAGAAACAGTTCATAACTTCCCTTCAACTCATTCATGTCACCTAAAAGGTAAACCTGTTTCTCCATCACCTGTTCAGCTCTGATGATTCAGTAAGGACATCTCCTGGTTTCATCTTCACGTTTCCCTCTCACCACATATCCAAACCGATATCATGACCAGCAGCTTTACAGCTATGGCTCCAGCAAACATCAGCTGATACTAGAAAGTAATATTAAATAAATTCTAACAACAGGTGATCAAGCTTAAACGTGCTGCTGTTGTTTAGTGCGACCGCGTTCGCTGGTTTCTGCTTTCGGGCGCAAAGTGAGCGATTAACAAACAAGAGAGAAAAGACGATCAGCTGATCATTGATCAGTTTCATGATTGAAGTAGCAACAGGAGAGGGCGGGGGAGAGAATGAGAGAAGAAGAAGCAGCTGCGCAGCAAAGACACAGAATAACTCCAGCTTTGTGTCTTTTTCATTCTAGCTGAAGTACGGGACAAACTGTGTTCCTGTTCAGCTCAATACAAAACGCGTAATATTTTCTCTGAATACCGGACGATTCCGTTTTTTACTGGACGGTTGGCAACTCTACTAACTAACCTTATGAATAAAATAAAGTTCAGTATCAGTAACATCCTAGCACCCACCCAGCTGTAGAAACTCCGTCATGCTAGCTAGCACGCAGTACGAAAAAGTCAGCACAACGAAAATAAACTCCACCTAAACTTGGCTTATATCTGACCCAGATAGACTACAGGTCATAACTTCTTACCTGAAGTTCAGTTCACCTGACACTCGGGCCGGTGGCCACCTCGGGTCTCTTCTCCTGCCTCCCCTTTCCCTCATCCACCTGCTGGCCTCCACCACTTGCTAATGTTACTGAATCTGTGGAAGCTCCGCCATAGCCACCACACAAAGTAACGAATAACGACTCTATCTAAATCCCAGTGACGATTAACGCATTCCTGATCTTGGCATAGAAACTAGTTACCGTGCTCGTTACCACAATAATAACGTAGTTACTGTAACGCGTTACTTAATACCGCATTGCATTAACTACTGGCAATAATAAAGAGGAAAACAATCAGACGAGGAAGCACTTGGAGACAGCGGGAAGGAAAAACTCCCTTTTAACAGGAAGCAACCTCCAGGAGAACCAGGATAAGGAAAGGGCAGCCATGTCCAACTAGCAGTAACTCCCATCACTCCTAGTTGTAATATGCACCAATCAATATATATCATGGTCACAAATATTTAAAAAAACAAATTTAACCCCTTAGTGCCTAGTGTACTATATTTCATACATAAGTTTTTTGTGAGTTTTTGAGACTTCTACATCAACATCATTCTGATTTTCCCCCCTCAAGAAACCTAAATAAATGCCATGGTCCTGGGTTAGTTTCTGGTTGTATATTTGTGACTTCTAGTTCTTAGGCTTTTGTTACTGAGCCTCCTCATGTGTTCCAGGTGTCACATCTCGTCAAATTATGTTCTCATTTCTGTTCTTCCCCAGTTCCAGCATCGAGTCTCTGTCTGTGTCTCATGTTTCCTGTTTTATTTTGATAGTTCCTCATCTTGTGTTAGTGTATTCTGTTTTGCTTCCTCCCGGTCTCTTGGGTGTGATTAGTCCCAGCTGTATTTTCCTCCTGGTCCTCATTCCCTCGTTACTCTTTTGTGTATTTAGTCCTCTGTCTTCCACTGTCTGTCACTGGTTTGTCTTTTCTCCCTCTGTGTTTCCAGGTTCCTTGTTTTCATGTATTGGTTAGCTTTCCCAGTTTAGGTTTTGTTACTTCCCTTCCTGCCTTTTGTTTGTAGTTTTGTTCAGCCCCCACGAAAAGGCTCACTTTTTGTTCAACTCCTCGCTCCGTCTCCATTGTGTGCTTTTGGGCCCACACTCTCTTCACTCTACACCGTCTGCTGTAGCAGACGTCAGAAAAATTGCACAATACATTTTTAATTATCTAGCAATTATTTCATGGTAAAAGACTTTAAAGGGTTAAGGTATCCTCATTGCAAATGTTGCTCATTATTTTTATTTATTGTAAAATTAAAAAAGAATAACTGATTATTATGGTGCTATCAGCATCAGTTAGGCCCTAGCTGGTTCTGTTTATTTTTTGTGTGAATGGGTGGATGACTGGTTGTGTAAAGTGCTTTGGGGTCCTTAGGGACTAGTAAAGCACTATATAAATACAGGCTATTTATCTGCAAAATGTGTTGTCAAATGCAAAATAAATGGTTTAAATTCTTTAAGGAACTTTTTTTTTATTTTGAAAAAAGTTGTTAAAATAGTACCAGTTGACATGTTTTTATAACACTCTCAGCTATTTGTATATCAGCCTAAAAATAGATGTAGTTAGGGGTACAGCCAGCATTTGCCCCATATCAAACTACACCCATCCGCAGTTTTGGGTGTGGTCTGAGGTTTAACTAGAAAACTTTAAAATGCAGATAAGTAAAGAATTCCTGCATGCTGTTGGTAATAAATAGGCAGTGCAAAGTTCAGTGCCCCTTCTTTCATCCTTCCATCAGCCTATGTACCATTTTCTGAGGAAGGGTTATCTTAAAACTGCACCTTCTACTGTGGAGGCAGATATTCAAAGCATGGTTCGCAAACCTTTTTTTGGAATATTTAAAATAAGCATTTGCAGACAAGGTTTGCATTGATCATCATTAAACTCAATGCAATTATCTGTTGTATTTAAGTTATATTTAAGTAAAAAACCCAGGGAGATTGGGGCTCACATGTCTAAAGAGTAAACAACTCTTATCAGTGTTTTGACATCACTGCCATATGCAGTGGCTTACTAACACGTGTGCCCTCTGCTACTCTGTGATACATGCATGCTAAACAGCACTGGTGAGTAATTTAACATTTAATAAACTAATATATTTTGTTGCCTTTCTTATCTGCCTGTACTTTCTACTCATATGAGCAATTACCAAAAAGGATTTCACATTAAAAATTAAAATAAATAAATAAAACTCGAGCATGGAAAATATCCTCAAATGTCCCAAAATGACCTAAAAAGAAGTAGGCTGTAAAATTGGTGTTTTGCAAAAGGTTCAAAATTATTAGTGTGTTTAATCACTTACCCACCAATTCCTACAATTAGTGTCTTCATTCCACTTGTCTGCGTCTGTTCGCTGCAAAGCTACCGATTTATAGAACTTGTAATACTAACGTAATTAAGAAGTCACGTGCAAATGTATACACCACGCTGGTAGCTAGTCCTGCGAACGCAACAGTCCTCCCACGTGCTATTCTGGACGCTTACGATTTGCCGTTGGAGCCTCCACGTCACTCACGACCTGCCCATTGAGGGAAAAAAACATTTGTTTTGTTTTTTATTCATGTTGTTTTCTCTTCTTTAATCATTTATAACATTTTATACTGATATGTTCGTACTCAAATATTTATTTGCAAAAAAAAATGTTTCAAAGTGTTACAACTTAAATCTAAACATGTACAGTTATGAAATAACAATAAAAAAACAAAAATGAATTTTAAGAAAATGTAAATATATTTATACTTAATATATAGTCTATCATTATAATCTATAATATAATCTATAATTTGTTTGTTGTGAAATGTTGAAAACTTGGAAAAAAAACGCTGCATTACATCCAAAAGGCAATCGATTGAGCGAGCCACAGGTTGGCGCATGCGCTGAATAACTTTTCCGCGTACTGAGCCGAACTTCCTCATTGAGCGTGCTAACAGCAGAGAACTCGACAGTCTTGCGACGATTGTGACTGAAACAGCACAGCGCGTTTCTTTTCGCTTTATCCGCCAGCCTCACAAATGTCGAAGCCTCCTCCCAAACCAGCCAAGCCAGGTAAGACCAAAACTACGAGGACATGTTGTTTAAACTTAACCTAAACTTGTGACGTGTTTATACGAGGACAACGCACCTTGTTGGCGTTAAACAGTTAATGGGCGGGCGCTCAACACTCCTCCACGGGCTCGGTTGATTTCTGTTGTTTGTCTGTGAAACCTTGTTTGGCTAATAGAAAGACAGGTCTTAAACTTTAATTGGAAGCCGTGTCGCTTTATCGCTAGCCCTGCCAGGACCGCGTTGGAGTTATTGAAAGCGCTTTCTGGCCATTCAATACACTGACGGGGCCATCCAGCTCTTACCAGCAGGCCTCTGTCACTTCCCTATTTCCATCACTCATGCAAAGAGAGCACCGCGAGTCAGTGGCTTTGGGTGAATAGGTGATAAGTCTGCGTGGTCAGTGACATCAGCTCTACTTCCTCCTTGCTCGGATTATTCTGGTAACCTCTTCCCAAACCTTACTTACCAACGTTAGAGCACGTCATAGCGTTTGCATTTACCTACGCACTGTGTCAGTGCAACAGGTGTACACAAGCAGCCTGTGTAGGAAGGAGAGGCGATATTCAGCTTAATAGGTATCCTTTGTTCAAAGCAATTACACAGATCTCCTGGTGCATATGTTTGAGGCTAAAAGTGAAACTGTGACTTCTCCCTCAATAAACTTGTAATGCTGTGGCAAGTGTTTTTTGAATTTCTATTTACTAAATAAAGTGTAAAATTTCATCGATCATGGTTGTAAGTACAGCATATGTGCACCTGTGATGAAATTTTAAGGCAGCGTGATGAGAGGGAGGCAGAAAATTGTACTTTAATGTGATAAAAAACAACTTTTGATTTATTGTTGTAATCATTTTTGAGCATTTCGTTCGTGCCCATGCTGCACTCTACTGCGCTGGTCTATCCATATTGAAATTGGGTGACTATTAATGTTTCTATGATTTGTAAAACTTTGGGATGTACAGAAAAACATTTAAATGTCCACAATGTCAAATCAAAGCTTTCTAAAGGAAAAAGTCAATTTCTTTACATCTTCTAGCCCAGGGCTGCCCAATCCCAGTCCTCGAGAGCTACTATCCTGCAGCTTTTAGATGCATCCCTACTCCAACACAGCTGAATCAAATGGTTTGATTACCTCTTCAGCATGCCATCATGTTTGGCAAAGGCCTGATAACAAGCCATTCATTTGATTCGGGTGTGTGGGAACAAGGATGCATCTAAAAGCTGCAGGACGGTAGCTCTCGAGGACCGGGATTGGGCACCCCTGTTCTAGCCAATGGTTTCTGCAGTAGTGTTGGCTAATTGCACCTAGTACACTATTCTCATCTTATGAATTAAATGTGGACGCAGGTAAATGCAGATGTTTGGGAGAAAAAAAAATCTCCATCTCACAGATGGGGAGAGAAGCATAAAATAACCTTCCTCGTGTGTGAAGTTAAAGGTGGTTTATGTCTACAAACATGCTGACACAGCAAACACAGGCGCATCTCTTTACCCGCATGAAACACAATCTTTTGCGCTCCTCACAGTCCTTGACGAATCAGTCACGATGCCTCACCTGGCTGTAGGTGAGATCGCCTGTCAGTGACAGGTGGCAGGCCGGTGGGGCTCGTGCAGGAGTAAATGATCCATCCTGCTAAAGCTATTTTATCCAGATTCAGGATTGGTTTTCTGTAACTTTCCCTTTGGTGGATGTGCTCGGTGGATGTGCTCAGTGTCTGTGCATGAATTGGCTTTGGAGGAAAAAAAACAAACATTGGCAAGTGTTTGTAGCCATGTGTGACCAAATAGCACCCCGAGGTATGCGTTCAGCTTGAACAAGAGCTAGCATGTTTTCTTTGGTTTTTTTGGTTGGTTGTTTTTTGCACCCACTTAGCCACATTTTTACAAGAAGGTTATGATTCTGTTTTTAAGGTATGTGCAGTTTAACAGAGGCAGCCCTGTGCAAACTCTGGTTTAGCCGATTAGAAGTTTAGATTACGTTGTTAAACTGAGCACTGAACATGACTGAGGGATCACATAACCACCATGACCAGACATGCTTTTTCAGAAGAGCTGCTGCAATAAAGTAAAATGTACAAAAAAAACACATAACTGGAATTCATTAAAAAGCTCACACAGTAATAGATGAAACATATACTGTCATTGCTTTGCTCATGTTAAGGCACAAATTTTCTTCTTTGTTTATTCATTAGATTTCTTTTTATCTTATTGTGTGCCCAGGGTTTAAAATGTAGCAAGAATTTAATTGAGCCAGCACAGGCCCTCAGTATGGGTCTGCAAAGCAGACGTGCTTACTGTGTTTGAACAGAGCTGGACTTGTGCGGCAGCTCAGCCCCCATCAATCTGAGACACCGAGGCAGTGTGTTCACTAAACAGAAATCCTGAGTAACAGCACAGGCAGAGGGGATTTACAGAGTCCAGCGGTTAGGCCTGTGAAGTAAAGAGATCAGGAACGATGGACTCTAACTGGCCTTTGCATTTAAACATAAGACAGTGAATCAGTCACCTTGTGTTTAGTTGTGGTGAACTCCTTTAACATATAACTGTTAGACAGTTGACACTGTGATAATCTTTCAAGTTAAAGCTGAAAGGATTGATAAAATAACCAAATAAAGGCATGATTGAAGATATCAGATATGCACCAATAGTGGGGCGGACGCATATTTTTTTCACTGGGTTTATTATTTAAAGCATATTATTAACATTTGTCTCCAATTTAAAACAAAAAACGGGTGTGTCAAAATTTTAAAAGGAAGTCCAAATTACGCTTATCTACCAGTCGATGCAAATCACAGGAAATTCTTTAACTTTGCAGGAGAGCATATTTATCCTGGTTTTGTTAACCAAAACAGGGTCGCTATTTGAGGGCTGAGTGTAACCAGCTCAGTAGTCTGTTTAGTAAACTTTGTGTCTATGTTGTAAACAACACAGCAGACTATATGTAACCTTACGTTAATGCCCAGAAACGGGCAGTTAGTTGAAATATAAAATGTTTATATCAAGTATTTAAATACGTTTTGAAAGCTTGACCATGGCTGTTCAAGCTTTTGATGTAGTTTAGCAGTTGACTAAAGCCACAGCATAGTAGCAACTCAGCAGCAGAGCTCAACCTCAAGTTTGAGCTACCAGTGGCCCCGAGTGCAGCTACACACAACAACCACTCACACTGTTGATGCTGTTTTTTGTGCCTGTTGTACGTGTTGAAATGTCTTTTTGTTTACATAATAGATAACATCTCACCTTTGATTTGTGCACTTGAGAAAAGAGAGTAGTTTACCACATTAGAAGCTGCCTTCTGCACGCACTCACCTGTATACTCACTGGACTGAAACTAGCTGGGTGTTCTGCGGGGCTTAACCAGGAGTGGTTTCACCTCACTTTTGTTTGTCACAGAGTGCGCACACATATTGTGTCTAACATCTAGTCTGTTTTTGTCTTCACTAGGCCAAGTCAAGGTTTTCAGAGCTTTGTTCACCTTCGACCCACGGACAGTAAGAGTTTTTTCTTTGTTGAGATTAATTCTTTTTCTTTTTACTTTCATAACTTTATTCTGATCATCAATTAATCTTAGCGTTTCTCACAAGGTTAGGATGCTAGGGATGGTGTAATTCCTGAACTGTGTTTCAGCTGGAAATATACGACATAACCAGAGAATCCTTTTAACCCTATGCCATAACCTGATATGCACCTCCCAGGAAGTGTAACTACACTTTGAGTAAACGCAGCCTGCAATGACTTTGAATGGTGTGGAAGGCTGTGGTGTAGGGTTAAGAGTAGTTTCCAGTTAGTTCGTAAGAGGCAGCTAGAAGATGGTGATGATGACAAGGCAGGGGAATCAAAACAAAGTCCCAAAATCGGAATATTTGATCATAAAATCTTAATTATACTTAAATATTAGAAGATTTTATTTATACTAATATATCAATACACTCCTCCACTGGTCCTGTCTAGGCTGTCGGCCAAAACAATATTAACAGTACTTCAAACCAGTGGCTCTGGTGGGTGGGCATCAGGAAGGGCCAGTCACATTTCAGTAGGGAGTACCATCCCACCACTCTGCACGCTTCCTGCAGCTCAGAGCAGGTGTCTTGAGCAGAAGGACTGCTGTTTCAAGCTGTAATTCATGATGATGTAGGTGGATTGTATCAATCTCTGTGATAAGATCTCACTGGGGAAGTGGTTAACTGATATCGAGCATCACCACAATGGTAACCTAGACAGGAAGGTAGCAAGTACGTGAAGCTAAATTCGGGAAGGGTGGGGCCAGCTTGTTAGCAATGACTGAACTTTCAAAGTAAGAGTGAAGGAATGACTCACTGGTAAATTAGCATCAGAAGGTGTCATTTTTTTCAGACTTACTAAGAAAAAATTAATAACCTACTAAACATACTATAAAAGGTAATTCTGTTCATGTGGGCATAGCTACGTCCACACGAACAGAACTGAATCAGCTCTTTGGGATTTCCTTAAATGAATGATTGCACATGCATTGAGTAGGGGTGCAACGATACACAAAATTCACGGTTCGGTTCGGTTCGATACTTTGGTGTCACGGTTCGATATTTTTTCGATACAAAAAAATGTTCATGCCTTTTTAATTTGTCATTTATTAAAATTATAAATTTATATTTTAACTCAAAAGTACAGTTTTTAAATTTAACCCTAACCCTTGTGCGTGTTTTTTATTTTGACAGCGAATGCGCACCTGCGGACCACTTATGTGCAGCCCTGGTTATTTAGCTCGTCATATTGCAGCCACAGAAATTCTTTTGTCCATGAAACCATAAAGCTGCACTTTCTTTTTGCCTTATAGTCTGATTTGTCATAACTTCTCCGTTTTGTGGTAAGCTTTTCTTTGGCTGTCACTTCTTCACCCTGACCTGTCTTATTTGGCTCAGCAGAACTAAAATATATATCTGTCTGTGAAGGTTCTCAGTCATCCAGGTCATCGTAGTCAAATATAAATCCTGCTGCTTTTACACACGCACTCACATAAGCTCAGCGATTCTCTGCGCGATCAACCTCTCACATGTTTAAGCTGCGGGAGATTTCACTTGTCATGTTTGCATAGTAAGCTAACAATTAATAAGACGATGTCAGAGGAATTGGTGCACAAATTATCATCACTCACAGATCAGTGCTGTCATTGCAAAGTGAAAGCAAAAAAACAAGCGCAAATTCAAACGCGATTTCAATATGTCACATATTGACAGTGGCTCACCGATGCCAATGACATAATTACCCAGCTACATTTCCGAAAGAATGCAAAAGCATTGACATATATTTTTCCTTCCTACAATAGCCCGACTGGAAAAAATCGCTAGCCCCGGGACGTTGGGCTAGCGATATTGCGAGCCCTGTATCTGATTGAGGAATCACTCATCTTTGGAAAAGAGTTTATTACAGAGAAATGTCTCTTTCCAAAATAAAAGCTATACTGTCCGCTTCTTCTGGGCTATATTCTCAGCAGCATAAGGAGAATCATGTGCTAACAGCTGTCTAAATGACTCGGCTTAAGTTAGTAGCATGCTTGTTGTTTTTGAATTTGCACTAGGATGATGTCGGCGTAAATGTGCAGTCATATTCGTTGTGTTCCCACTAGTGCTTTCAGGTTAATCTCGTTGAAATGACCTTAACGCCACAACACAGCAAATCTCCGTTAACGAGCTACCGCCGATCGCCCCGTGCATGGGGCTAGACGGCCAACACGTTAACGAGCTAACTGCGCTAACACACTAGTTCCCACCCATGTAATTGAGCATTGCATGGCACATCCAACATACTGTTTTACTTTAGTCCATGACTCGCTTACCTTCAGGGTCATACGTCACATGAAAACCAAAATAATTCCAAACGCCAGATCTGAATGAGGGTGGGGGAGGTCCATGTTGTAAGGGGAGCTTAACTTCTGTCTCGCTAGCTTGCCCTGCGCTCTTCCTTCTGACGATGCTGTCTGTGTTGAGCGCTCAGTGAATCTGCGTTCGACTACTCCGCCTAGGCTGCACTGTCGACCCTGTCGAACGCAGATTCACTGAGCGCTCAACACAGACAGCATCGTCAGAAGGAAAGTTGATAAAATAAATTACAAATGTTGTATTGTTCGATACATATGCGTACCGAACCGAAAGCACTTTATCGAACGGTTCAATATCGATACGAATATCGTTGCACTCCTAGCATTGAGATACCAAACCTTTCCTCCAAGTAAGCGCTATACATGGGAAACACTTTGGCAGAAGTCGTCTAAACCACCGAATTGCAAACTGAGTTACCAGTTGCTTTCATGTTTTTCATGTGTTGGTCTAGATTTGGTTGCAGAAAAAAAGGGGGAGGCTGCTTAAAATACAACACAAATCTGACATTAGTGTTGAGGTCAGAAAAGTGTGAATGCCACATCCTGGGTCACTGATGGTTATAAATGGCCTGTACTTGTATAGAGCTTTACTTAGTCCCTAAGAACCCCAAAGGCTTCACACTACATTCAGTCATTCACCCATTCACACACACATTCACACACCGGTTATCAACTTGTAACAGTGTCTTTTTATTTTCTAGCCAGATGAGTTATATTTCGAAGAAGGAGACATCTTGTACATCTCTGACACAGTAAGTGGAAACCCTAGAAGCTACATCATGTAACAGCCATCTTTTATTCCACGGTTTTGTTTCCCATCGAGTTTTAATTTAACTTAAGTTTTTCTTCCTCTTTCTGTGGAATCATAATCTTGCTTTCTCTGCATTTTTTGCCTTCCTTTTGTGTTATTATTTTTCCATTTTTACACCTCCCCCCACTTCAGTGTTGTATTGAAGCAGATTAATTTATTGCTTCATTTAGTTATTAGTTTATTTTGGTCTTTTCTTTCTTAACAAATACTTCTCTATTACTCAGAGTGACACTAACTGGTGGAAAGGGACATGTAGAGGAAGAACAGGATTAATTCCAAGTAACTATGGTGAGTACACATCTCAATTTCACAGTTAAATAGCAGATATATTAATGAGTACAGTACTATGCGGTGTAGCTCGTACAAAAACGATAGTTCTGTCCCTTAAGTTAATTTTCCATAATGCACTGATGCCCTTGTTTTGTTTTTCAGTGGCTGAGCAGGCAGAGTCTATCGACAATCCGATGCATGAGGCAGCCAAACGAGGTAGATGGCAATATTTCTACTAGTCTTTATTTGTTGCTCTTAATTCTTGGTTGAGGTGTGGCTGCATTTAGATACAGGAGGGTTTTTTTTAATCCTAAGACAGTTCTCTTTTGTCTGTCTGTGTGACTGTTATGACAGTGTTTCTGTTCCTGCTGAAAACCTGTACCACTGTTTACATTATTAGTAAAGTTCTCCATTTGACTCTGTGTGTTCGTTGCGTACATACTGGTTATTTAAACAGGCAATCTGAGCTGGCTGAGAGAATGTTTGGACAATAAAGTTGGAATAAACGGGCTGGATAAGGCTGGAAACACTGCCCTCTACTGGGGATGCCATGGGGGACATAAAGGTAAGAGTAAAGTAGTTTTTTGATGTCAGAGATTATGGATCAGCTACTTATTACATTTCAGAAATCTTAAATGTTGACAGACGCGCGCGCGCACACACACACACACACACACACACACACACACACACACACACACAGGGAGCTCTGTTTCCAATGAAAAGTTAAGTACAAGAAAATAGGAACTTGTTCTTTGCCCTCCATTGTTTCTCCATTACTGTTAGGTAACATTTAACATGAAATCTCTTCTCTTGTATTTCTGTACCAGATGTGGTGGAGCTTTTGCTCACCCAGCCCAATGTGGAGCTCAACCAGCAGGTGAGGCAGGTTTAAAGTCACATTCAGAAATCAGAATTCAGAAGATTTGGAAGGAGTGTCAACAGTTTAACGTGTGTAAGGAAACTGATGTTATTCAACACCCAGTTTATCATGCTAGGAAAAACAGAGAAGAAACTGTTGTGGACAAAAAATTGATCAACAAAAAGTTCAGTGTGATGATGTCATGATTTCATAAACCTTGTGTGGTTTGGGTGAAAGTAGATCCTTGTCAGGGTGTTTGCCAGTAACAATCATGTTTTGTGTTTCAGAATAAACTCGGAGATACCCCACTGCACGCTGCCTCCTGGAAGGGTTACTCTGACATAGTGGAAATGCTGCTTAACAAGAGTGAGTATCCATCCATGTTGCTTTTTTGTGTTTAAAAGAATACATTGGTCAGCAGGGTCATCTTTGCTGTTTTGCTATAAACTCTGCAGGGATGGACGGAAAGAAATCTCCTGAAATATTTTATGAAACTCTGAGATGGGAGCGTGTGGCTTCAGTTTGAGTAGACAATAAGTGACTGTGATCCACACATTAAAACAAAGTTTTTCATGAAAACAGGTTTCATCTTTATCAGTTTTCATTGGCTGTTGTATGTACTATGTACAAATTACACGTAAAGAAAAAAAATGCTGCCAGACATTAAAATATACATAGGTAGTTTAAGACAAGGAAACTGCTGTCAAAGTACTGACATTATAGAAACATAACTAAAATTACACATCCTGTTGGGCTGATTTAAAAAAAAAAAAAAAAAGTAGATCTTGCCACTTGAGGGTATTATTGAAGAAAAAGCCTGCATTTCCTGTTAAATCTACCCCGAGGATCTGGATTACTCATACTCATAATTCTTCAGTTTGTATAACAAATAACGTCTTTTTAATCCAAGCAAAGGTGGGTGGCAAGATAGGCTTTCAAGTTAAAAGAAAAATTCTAGCTGCAGACCAGTCTGGATGTCAGGTGAAAATTTATGTTATTTATGTTTGTTTCAGATGCGAGAATAGACATCAGGAATAATGAGAACAAGTTGGCTGTGGACATGGCCACGAATGCCCAGTGTGCGTCACTTATCAAAAGGAGGCAGGGAGGCCGTAAGTAAAGCTGCTGTTACGGAGCAGCCACACAGCATTACTCACACAATCTCACAGTCCCAGAAACTCTCTCTGCTCAGTTAGTGTAAGTTCAGCACCTACCACAAGAGTCACTTGTTGTAGTTACTGAGCTGATCACAGGAAAACTGAACTCTATATATATATATATAAAAATATTATTATTATTATTTCTCCCCCCCCCCATTCGTCAGTTGAGGAAAGACATGAAGTGTACAGACATGATGCAGTTACACATAATATGTAAAAATAGTGCAGTATGTTTGTCATTAACTATCCATTTCCTGTGTTGCAGAAACCACCCGCATACACAGCAATGCTGAAGAGTATTTGGACGATGAGGACTCTGACTGAGCTGGCCCCATTAAACCATTACCTCTGTCTTCCATTGGGTTTGGGGCTCGTGATCCTTGCAGAGTCTTATTACAGGACCTAAAGTGGAATTGCTGTGTAACTGTAACTTCATTTTAGTTCAGTTATTTTGTTCAAACACCTCACTCCTCTGCCCTCAGCCTCACTTCAGTGCGAGTCTCTGAGCTTTGAATTAGTGTGTTTTACAGTTGGCCTGCTTTTTCTACCCCGAGTGGATTTCCACACGTGGGGGATTTGTCTTGGAGGATCGATTGTGCACTGTGGGCTGAAGGGCAGAGTATATGTAGTAGCAGAAAAGGGACCAAAACTCTTAGAAACACATTCCAAACATACAGCTTATGTTTAACCTATTAAAGTGCCAATGCAGATTAAACATTGATCTGGTGTGTTTCTACTTAAGTTTTTCAAGCTCCACTTAAATTGCTGAACTACAAACATGAGCAGAAGGAATTGGAAACACATTACCACAACTACAAACCTTTATGTACATTAGGAAGACTATTAAACATGTATTTAGCTCCAACATTTCCCCCCTAATAGATTTCCCCACATATATTCTCAACACTTAAATTATGCATGCAACCGATGTGCATAAATGGGCTTAATGTGGCCGGAGTATGTGTAAGCATCTCATCTAGCAGTAAACTCACTTGTTGAACTCTATACTGCTTGTGTTTTTATAACATTTCCACCGCTGTTAAGAGCCTGCTTTCAGCTCACTGTAATTAAAAATAATATTCCTCATGTAAACTAAACATTACTCTGAACTCTTTCAAGCTTTTGATTTCCATCTTGTAAGCATATTTCTGGTTTTATTGCTGCTTTCCAACAGATTGAGGGGGAAAAGTGCCTTAAATGTAAATTCGTGCGAGTGTTTGCGGTTGTTTTTCTCTTCTTCAGTGTGAACATGTTTGTCTTCAGAGGTTATGAATTTCTTAAGAGGACTGTTCAGGATTTCTGTCTGCTCTTTCTTCAATCTCAAATAAAGATTTTTTTTTTAACTTATGTACACTGAATGGATATTTTTGAAAGAAAATAGAGAAATGTGTCTTGACAGAAGCAGTGCAGTGGGATTATGTACTTACTGACCACTTTATTGGGTACACTTGTTCAGCTTTAACACAGGTATCAAATCCTTCAGTCACACGGCAGCAACTCTGCATGTAGACACGGTCTGCATTCACACTGAGCATCACAACGGGGAAGAAACTTTGAATGTGGCTCAATCATGCAGTTCGGAAAAGTGTGGGGGATAATTTATTAGCCTATGACCAACTGAGCATCATTTAAACACTACAGCCTGTCTAAGTATTATTATTAATAAATTGTTGAACGTTATGTGTACCTGTCTTCTGATGGTTGCTCAACACAGTATGTAGTGGAACGGGAGATTCACGTTATGGATTTGCGGCACCAGCTGTACGATATCATCATCTGAAAATGGACCAAAATCTCCGAGGGATGTTTCTGGCAACTTATGAACCACATGATGAATTAGGGCAACTCAGAAGGCAAAAGGGTGTCCAACTATGTACGGTACTAAGGCATACTCAAAGTGAGCAGTGAGTGTAATTAACTACTCATAGCCTCTCATCCAAACAAATTCCTCTCATTACTAAATGCACATGTGAAAACATGTAATAAGGTTGTAAACTCTAATAATTATAATAATCCAATAAAGAACATGTTCCAAAAAGTTTCCTCAGACCAACATAAATAAATTCATAAAAGTTAAAGATTTCCTTTATTACAAAGTCGGCATGTTGATGACATTCCACAAAGGCAAAAAATACAAGAACCCAAAAATACAGCAAGTCTTTGATGAGGGATTCATGCTACATGACTGCAGGACCAGAGAAACTAAGAGGACAGGTAGAGCAGAACCAGGACATCGTGTTCTTCCTCAGTTTCCTCCTGATATAGTAAGAACTTTGTTTTTCTACATCCATTCAATGCCAAATGCAAAAATAAATAAATAAACCAAACAGTTACTGAACATGTTTCCTATACAGCAGAAGAAAGGGAAGCAACTGCTTTTATTTAATCAAGAGCTGAAAAAGAAAATTCTTCTTTTTTTGAATGAGTTGGTTCTTTTTTGTATTCTTTTAGGACTTGATTATTCTTTGCTGGGACAACGTTTTTGCTTTTTTTTTAAAGAAATGTTGTCCTTTTTCCTTATATAAAATTATGAAACTAATTTATCTTCATTCAGCAGACAAGGAAGAGCAGATGAAAACTAGATTTTACCTAATATTTAATAAAATATTTCTGCAGCTGAGTGGTAAAAGAATGTAGTCTCTTTGAAAAAAATCTACCCAGCAGGATGTTTAGTAACACCGAGCAGCAAACAGCATGTAAATGGTGTCTCAGCAGGACTGCGCTTCACTCCTAGAACTATCAATATAAAGATGCATGCCTTGACTTCACAGTAAAAAACTGGTAATAAATACACGGCTCACTGTCAGGTAGCAAAAGATACAAATGATGCTATCTGTGGATTCCACATTATCTGTGGAAGCCATTAAAGAAGCTCTGATTGACCTCCAGAGATACAAAGAAGGTTCTTCATAGTGAACCACACACAGAGGCATACATATATGTATATATTTATAAATTAATTACACAGGTTCACACAGTCAAATAAAAAAAAAAACCCAAATCATGTCCACTCTTTTCAAGAAGCTCTAGAAATTCTGCAGGATTTAAAGTAGCAGTACTTGTAAGACTTACTAAAACACACTTTTCATCTCTCTTTTTAAAGCAAGGGTGTCAAACTTATGGTCCACAGGCCAGAACCAGCCTGCCAAAGGATCCAATCAGGCTTGTTGCATAACTTTTCCAAGAGTGAAATTTGCAAAGAAGACATTAATTTTAGGTTGTCATTTTCTTTTGCACCGGTAAGCAAAACGTTCTGAATAAACAATGATGAAAGTGTTATTGTCCATCTGAATCATCATTAGTCTGAATGTGGAAAAACAACCATTTTTCTTAAAGATGTTTCAGTTTGCGCATCATCAGTTTTATAAATAGATCATTAGCAATAACCTGAATGTACTGAAACTGCTCTTCACAAAAAGAAAGGGGAACAATTAGTCAGAAGCTTCAGCGATGCAGGCGGCCCACTTGAGCTGCAAGTCACTTATGAGCAAAGATGAGTCTGATACCCTTGTTCTGAAAATGCAAAAACCACATTTCCTCATTTTCCGTGACGTTTCTGTCAGACTGCGGTTCAGGCCGTTACAGGCGACCAGTTGAGCCCATTGGTTACATAAATGGTCTACATTGTAGACTCTACAACACATAAAGCACCCTGTGTGAAGGGGAAACTAGGTTCTTAAACTTTTTTTTTTTTTTTTCAAAAACACATCAGATTCGAGACCTATTTTTTTTACTTTTAGAGGCATCTGTGGGCAGAACTTGTTGCTGTGTAAACATACCCAGTGGAGCATTTTACAAACTAATCTAATCTTTCAGGTATTAGAAGAAAAAAAAAAATCTTTTTCCAAAGGACACTTTTTTTCTGCTAATATGGTGCTACTTTAATTTGTGTTGTCAAATCCATAACCTTCATATTTTCATATAAAAAAACCCAGCAAATTACAGCCAGAAGCTTCTAATTCCTGTCAATTATTTCCAACTAAGTAAAGGATGGAGATGCCGCCCTTTCAAACAAGGCACATTTGAGTGTGAAACTTGAATAAGGCCTTTTTAAACACAAGCTGTGGTTATCATTAAGCTTTAAGGCGAACTGAAAGAAAGTGAAAATGATCCCACCCAATTGTCGCAGCCACCTAAATTTGAATACAGACATAAAAAGGAAGACTTGCACTTTTTTGTTCGTATCAGTTTTAAACAGTGTGAAAAATATCAGCTTTCAACATGATTGCCATCTCCTGCCTCCAAAGAAATAAATATTAAGAAAAGCAGACATTTAGGCTGAAACTATGCTTTTTTTTTATGATAATGCAATGAGTTTAAAATCTGACCATGTCCCCCCCAAAAAAGGGGAGAAAAAGTCAGAGAGAGCAGAGATGACAGTGATGATATATTGCACCAGTGTTTGCAAATTACTCAGAAGAAACACTTCTTTTTAATGAAGATCACATAGTTAATGCAGTAATCTTGACAAGAATTTATGTTCACAGAAAAAGTTCTGTAAAAGACTTCATCAAAGAATTATCTCAGGACAGACGAGGTTTTCCAAAACACAAAATAAACATTTCCAGCTGTTCAGCAAACTCAGTGTGGCCTCATTCAAACACCTTAAGAGGAACCCTTTCTCCAAACGCCTCTTTTAAAGGATATTATTGTTAGATATGAGTAGACCACAAGAGTCAAACAGTGTAGTGAAGATTTCACTCTGACCAGTCAACTAACAATATGACATTAATCACACCTTAAGGGTGAGGATGTGGGGACATTTCTAGGTATTCAAACCTCTGAAATGAAATGACATGAAACATGGAAGGCCTCTGATAAACAGTAATACTGACACATTAGATAAGTACGGTCTCAGTATGTACATGCATTGGGGGGGGGGGGGGCATGATCACATTATAGCCCCTATTGCACATTCAGTTGAACATCAAGTTACAACACTGAAATCCAGTCCTTCCCCCCTGATCTGCTCTGGTCTACCACACTGGACCAAAATCACCAGGGGGGTTTCTTTTGTGTGTGTGTTTCTTTGAGCTCAAGTAACAACCACTCCTGCTAGGAAAGAGTTCAAATATTAACTATGCAGGTCTAAATTCCAGCAGATACAACTGTGACGTGAAAGCAGCAGATTGTGTCAGTTTCACAGATAAACAACTTGAAATAAAACAGTGGACTCTCATCCAAACCATCAGAAATCAGAAAAACACATTGTTACTTTTATTAATGTTTTTGAAAGGGGAGGGGGATTTTTGGGGGGCTTTGAAAAAGTCTGAGAACGTCTTAACTAAAGCTCATAAAAAAGGTATTCAGATTTTATTTTTTTGGCTCAAATGATTTAATAACTAATAAATTTAGTTGGAAGAGAGGTACTGTGAAAAAAAATGAGCAAATCTGCCTCCATTTTTCTGATTTAT